TTTTTTTTTTTTTTGATTTACGTGGGGTGTCCGGGCCAGCTTACGCGCACCACGACTAATCCCCACGGCCCACTGAACACCCTGCAAACCCAGCAGGCAGGTAAGGCAGCGCGGGGCTGACAGGCATGCAACTCCAAGGCTCGAACTCGTGACAGCAGAAGACGCAAAGCGTCATTCCACCGCTGAGCCGGTGCCTTCGGTGCAGATTTAATTTTTTCTTGTTTTAGCTTATACTAGTATATTAGTTTGTGTTAAGTAGTGAGTTAATATTATATTTTTAAAATGTCAAAAAAAAAAAATATAAAAAATATTTCAAGGCCTTGAGTATAACGTTAATGCTATATTGGGCGACTTGGGTCAAGCGGCCATACTAGACCATTGCTTGAATCTGAAAAGGTTGGCAGACCAGCTCATGGTTTGGGCAACCATATCAAACCCTGTGTCTTGGTCTACCACCAAACATGATTGCTCGACCTAAGGCTTGGTTATTGACAAATCCAAGTATTTTGGGTCTAGCATGGTACCTAAATCTAAACAGTTTGGGTTTGATATCCCTTATTAGATCAAAGCAAATAACAAATAAATTAAAGATAATTATATTCTTTAATTATCACAAAAAAAAAGAAAAAACATAAATAATTAATCATCAACGATAATCCAACCATGATATCTTTACACGCCCCATATCATATAGAAAAGGTTACATCTACATATCTATCTAAACAGTGCATGATCAAATTTGACCATAAAAAAATATTCCATATATCTCTTTAATGGCTGAGGTAGATTACTCGCCTGAAAATATAAAATATACACTAATAGATTTATAAATAAAACAATAACATAAAAATACTAAAATATCCTATCGTATACATCATATGCAATTCAATTTCACTAAAAGCACGATCCTTTTAATTACATATTATAACTAAGTAAATTTTATTATCGCAAATTATAATAATTTGTATTTAGAATTACAGTGAAAACTAATGATTGTGACATCATTTAGCTTACTTTACGATTGTGATTTTTTAAACCCCATGACTTCAACAATTTGCAGGTTTTGTTGCGCACCTTTCCAGCTTGCCTCTGCGCCTCCAACTATCTCTTGCTGTTGAGCTTTACCCCCGGTGAATCTCCTCAGGTCTCGTCAGACAGGTCAATTTGCATTCATGCCTTTCCTTCTTTTTACTTCTTGTTGTTCCTTATGAGTTTGCCTTCCATGATTCGATGATGTAGCACCTCCAATTAAGAATTTTTACGGGCCTGCATACCATTTCCCCTTTTTCAAACATCTGTTTTCTAGTCATGGGCTTCGCTTTCCCTGTTTACTTGCTAATTACAATCTCAAAGTTCTATGTTGATTTTGTTTCTGGTTCTTCCTTCTTTTTTTTTATTTGCTAATTAACCTTTGTTTTCTAAAACTTTCCTTGCAAGTTATTTACTTTTATTTTTCAAGTGCTTATCTTTTTTTTCCTAAAAAAAAATGAAAAAAAAGGATCAAAACCTTTCTTTCATTGTTAGAGAATCATGGGGTTTTATTGGGTTTTTTTTTTACCTTGGAGTGATTGAGAATTCCAGCGTGCTCTGAAATGTTAGAGAGGCAATTCTAAAAACTGTAGGAAGAGGATGAAATGAACTTATTAAGAAATAGTTGAAAGAGACATTGATCGGTACATTTGTGTTATTTTTGTCGGTTTTTAGTTTCCAGGACGAGCACGACTGAGTTTTTCAGCAGTGCCTTTACTGTTTTACCACTTTGCTTTTGACTACTAACCTGATTGCTCGGTTATTGTTTCTCTCTATGACTCGATATTTGAAATAAGAGCATGTTTTATGTGAAAGAATCACATTTCTTACTGAAGGAAAACATCATTTCCCACCTATAAAGATGATAAAACTGATTTTTTTTTTATATATATTTTTTTGTACTCAAAATTCTTTCCCTTTAACTAGCTGCCTATTCTGGTATCAGGCGCAAAGTTTCATTTTAATCTGGGTTTATTTTTTATATAGTTATGTTCTAATTTGATCAACTGTGTATATTATTGATGTATTGTGCTTAATCAGAAGCAAGCACTCAAGTGTTCAGTGTTGCAGGGTGTGCCTCTTGATGAAGATTCAGAAAAGTATTCCGGTAATAAAGGTGGGAAAACTCCCTTGTTGTTGTCTCACCCTGCCGGAATAAGCCAGGGTTCAGTTGAGTTGCAGAAGCGGCCACCTACTCAAGAATTTCGAATCTGCCTTTCCTACCTGGCCCGCTGCGCCACGCGTGCAGTTTCAGGAGAGTGTATGCGCCACCTATCCCTCGTATAATTTTAGGGTTATTTGAGCAGAAGCTTGTAGAAATCAATTTGTTTTTTTAAGGTTTCGGAAAAAAAAAAGAACAATCGATTTACAACTCAAAAAAATGTTAGGGAGATTCTTGGTATTGTCAATTGAACAAAAAAACATTGTTTAAGGTTTTTTAGTTTTGGGATTTGCAAATCAACTGTAACAAAATTATGTGTTTTTTTGGTAAATCGAGTTCACGGAGAACATTTATTGTAATTAGTAAATATTATTTAATAAGAATAAAATAAATTTAGTTTTAAATTAAATTTCTCTATTTGAAGAAATAATTTTTCAACCACCATCACACACCTATTTTTTTTTTTTTTTGCTTAGTTCTAAATCTACATTTAAAGATACGGTGCAAATTAGTTTTCAAAAAATTTATTCTTTTGCAAAATATTATTTTTTATATATAATTTAGATATTTTAATGTGTAGATTTTAAAAATAATTTTTTAAAAATAAAAAAAATATTTTAATATAAAAAATACTTTAAAAAAAACCACAGTCACGCTAACCATACTTCTTAACAACTAACTTTTAAATGCAAAAAGGAAGAGAATCTCAGGAATGGACGTAACCTCAGCGAAATCATGTTACAAGTGAAGAGAGAACAAATCAATTAAATATAAAAAATTATGTTTTAATTTTTGTGAGATTCTATGTCTGTGGAGAGGAAAAAAAAAATCGTGTAGCATCGAATTTTGTGTGGAATGATTTGTTGTTTATGTTTACTTTTTATTTATTTATAAAGTATTCATAATGATAAATTTTGGAATTTAAATTTTATATTGACTCGTGATGCTACTGTAATTTATAAAATTACAAAGGAAAAGTGTAAACCTTAAGAGAGTAATTTCTTGTGATAATATTGATAGTTGTTTTTTAAAATAATTATAAGCTTAATTTCTCAATAAAATTTCCATCATGAACATTTAATGTAGATTTTTTAAATATTTCATGTATAAATTATTGATTTGTGATTTTTTACTCAAACTTTATTTTAATATTGTTATAAGTTTTAATTTAAAAAAGAAGGAAAAACAGATGAACAAGGAGAGAGATACATTTTTTACCCCTAATCTTTACTAATTTTTATTTATCTACTTGAAACATAAAAAAGAAAATATAGATAGTTAAATTAGTTTGTCTTGTACCTGATTTTATATCTATGGTGTAAAAAATACAATTATGCATTTGATAATATATTAAATTATATTTTATATTATGAGACAAATCAAAAAATTAAGTTTGAAATATAATTTTCATGAAATAGATTTATATTATGAGACAAATCAAAAAATTAATTTTCATGAAATAGTTTTTACATATTTTTTTAATCAAATTTTATAAAATTTAGTTTGTTTTTGCGTTTGAAAAACACTCTTTTTAAAATTTATTTTTTTTAGTTTTTATACTTAAATTAATTTTATTATATTTTAGATCATTTTGATACACCAATATAAAAAATAATTTTTAAAAATAAAAAGTAATTTTAAAGTAAAAAATATTTTTAAAAAACAACCATAATTAAATATTTCTTATATATTTTTTATTATACATAAATTTTAATTATAATTTTTATTAAACATATATTTAAATTCAACTAACTATAACTAATTATATTTTTTAAAAAACTTATTTTTCTAAACCAACATCATAAAAATTACTGTAAAAACAAATATATTCGGGGGGAAAAAAAAAATCCTCAACCAATGCCATCAGGTTAGATAGTCGAGTTGTTGCCTCACCTAATAAAACCTCTGGTTCATGACCTTTTCCCATAATCGATAGACACCGAAACAACCAGCCGACAAGGAAAAGCTGTCCACCATCACGGTTGTGAACGGGTGGGCCCCGGTCCTCTTATCCAACCCTCTTGCCGTTCGTCCGATCGAAATCCGACGGTGAAGATTCCACCCCACCAAAAGTCTAATCTAAATCCTACCTTTCAAAGCATCAACGCCACCATGAGCCGTCAAAACCCAAATCGCCGTCTCTGCCTTAACACGCGCACGCCAGCGCACTCATGCAGGAACCTACCACCAAAAAGCTCAACCATAACGTTCATGTTAGTTACATGCAAAAAAGGCCACCCATCATCAATTTCATTCAACACCGGTCAGCAACTATTTAGACAACAAAATCGTAGTATAATTAAGAGTTGACCGTAACTGTGAGTAAATGTAGAATTGTTTGGTATCCAGTCTAATCATATTTTTATATTTTTTATTCTATTTTAATTTTTTATTAATTTTTTATATTTTTCTTAATTTTTTAATATTCTAATATCAAAATTATCTTTTAAAAACATATTATATTGATATATTTTAAAAATTAATCATTACTATACTTTTAAACGACATCTACTAAAAATACAATAAAAAACCCACTACCTTACTCATCATCACCTTTAGATTTTTTTTAGCATTTTATAGCTTAATTAAAATTTTAAATATCTTCACAAAAACTTAAAATACTTGTTGGATCCCCTATTTTATGTAATAATTATGATATACATGCATATTAAAAAAATATTCATAATCAAATTAATTAAATCTACCTCAACCTATTATATTAATTTAATTTAATTTTTATAAAATGTAACTAGACTCGATTAAATTCAGGTGACCTGGGATATCAAAACCTCAAATAATGTATTTTCAGCTTTTTATTTTTTTATAAATAAAACGAGTCGTTTTAACCAACCCAGGATACCAGTTTATAATTTTGATTTTAAGCCGAGTCATAGATCGATATGAGCGCAATAACTTTGCTGCGGTGTGTGTACAGTACAGAGGAATTAAAGAATTTGTTAGATCACCCACCGTCAGAAGCAACAATCTGTGAAATACATCATGGTTTAAATAAATTCTGATATAATTTTTTACTAGCTCGGAACGGGAGAAAACGACCAACGAGAGTTCAATTTTCAATAAAGTTCTAGTGGAAAGAAAAATGAACCGGGAGTCGGAGAATAAAAGAACATGACATTCCAAAATCAGGTATGTTCCCCACCTTGCCTTTAAGCCACTACTTCCTCTCGAAGGACCAAACCACACCACCGTGTTAAGTTGCTGCTAACCTACACCGGAAACAGACACTTCAGTTGCTATTTTACGCTGAGAGACCACACACAGCGCCTCGGTGCACCCACCGAACACCAGTCCCTATAGATTCAAAAATGATCACCTTGGCTCCTCTAGTTTAAAAGTCCCCATTGTTAACGACAAGGCTCAAGTGAAAAGAACGGCTCCGATTAGAAGATAAAACTCAACAAGTTTTGGATATCCTTAAATCTAACTCCTAAAGTTTGGAAATTTCCAATGTGACCCTTAAAATTAAATAACAAATACAACACAAAGAGGCATTCATTGTTTCATTTTCTCTTTTCAACCTCTATTACATGCGGTAATATCACACGGAAATTAGCTTTCATTAATGGATTTATAGTAAGTCCTTGAATATTTTTCAAGATACAAGCAGAAAAACATAAATTAAAGGACCAAAAGGAAATAAGTGTAAATTACCAGGGATTGAAATGACGTCTAGACTCAAGACTTTATTATTAATAATTGTTTTTCCTTTTATTGCAGTGGCAAATAAAATAAAATAAAGAAAAAACTGAAATATATATATACGAGCACAATAATTCAGCCCTGAAAGTCTCTCTGAATTAAGCTCAAACAAAGTGAGAGAAAAAGAAAATCAAGAGCCAAGTAAAAAAGAATGGTTTCAACGAGAAGGAGTGGATCTCTTTCTGCTAACAATAACAGCAAGAGATCTTCCTCCTCAGATGACAATAATAACAATAACAGCAAGAGATCTTCTTCCTCAGAGGATAATAATAAGCCACCATCACCTAAACGTCAAAAGGTAAATATATATATAAAATTAAATCAAATCACTACGTGATTTTCTGGTGTCGTTCTTGGGAAAAAGATTTTCATTTCTTTTTGTGTGTTCCAGGGAGAGAATGGTGGAGTTACGGAGAAACCGATGCCGACGACAGATAATTCTAAGGAATCGAGTCCACCGGAGGAGGAGGATCCCGACGACGGTGGACCTGGAGATGCTCCGACTACTGGTGGTGGTGGTAGAGGCGCTTTGATTTCGGGGAAAGGTCAAGAAACGGCCACGCCGGCGGTGGCTGTTGTGACGCCGATCGCTGAAGGTCGGTCACTTTATTTTTTTTAAATATTTTTTTTTAAAACTGGAACTAAATTTCGTATTTTTTTTAATTTTTGAGAATTGAATTTCAAGTGTTGTTTGGTTAAATCTCTATTTTGTTTTTTTGGATTTGATTAAAAGGTTCTACTCCGGTTGTACTGGAGAAACCGCGGAGTTCGTTATCGACTTGGAATTTATATCAAAAGCAGAATTCAAGTTTCGAAACGCCTTGGTGTAAGCTGCTGACACAGTCTGCTCAGGTAGTTCGATTTGCGATTTTTATTAAATAAAGAGTTCTTTTGTTTTAGTTGAAAAATTGAGAATTGATGTCCAAAAAGGAGAGATTTTGAGCATTGACTAGAATGTTGATTATGTTTGGATTGCAGAATCAGAATATAGTAATTTGCACGTCCAGTTATTCGATTGGTACGACTAAACAATGCGATTTCATATTGAAGGATCACGCAATGGGCGGGATTCAATGCAAGATTAGACACACACAGGTATTGGTTTTATATTAAGTTTTTCTTCTAAGATGTTTTGGCAAACAGTGTGCCCGTGTTTGTTATCTGGAGGGCTGTGAATCGGGTATTATAGTGGATTTTTGTTTGATTAATAGTTCTTGTGGAGGTGAACTCCTTAATATGTATATGCAGTTTGAGTACTCATTGTTTGTGGACATGATCAGCGCGAAGGAAGTGCTGTTGCTGAGCTAGAAAGCTCGGGGAGCAAGGGATCAGTGCAAGTAAATGGGACAGCTGTCAAAAAGGGTGCTATCTATGTGCTTAATTCAGGAGATGAGGTGGTCTTTGGTGCGGTGGGGAACCATGCCTATGTATCCTCTACATTGTTTAAATTAATGGTTCAATCTTTCTTGTTTGTGGATTCTTCCAGCCACTTACCTTCTTTCACCTTTCATTGTTTTGTTTGCAACTGTGTAGAAAATAGATTTTATTGTTTCATTGTCACATGATAGTTTCCTTCATTTCTGTCGAAAATAGATTTTTCAGCAACTCCTGACTGAGGTTGCGGTTAAGAGTGCTGAAGTTCATAGTAGCCTGGGGAAACTTTTGCAACTCGAAAGGAGGTCAGGGGATCCATCGGCTGTTGCTGGGGCGTCAATATTGGCGTCTCTTTCAAGCCTCAGGCCTGATTTATCGCGCTGGAAGTCTCCAGGACAGACTGCCAGTAAAATGCACCATGGGACAGAGGTGCCTGCTCAGTCAGTTGTTCATGGTGGTGCGGAGGTTGAGCTTGATGGCATGGAAGGCAATTCAACTCCAAATTTAGGGAGTGATAAAGCTGCAGAGGTTGGAGCGATCAACCAGAATCTTCCTCACGATTGCAGCCAGGACTCTGGCACAGAGGCAGGCAATGTAAAAATCTCTGGGATGAATGATTTGATAAGGCCTTTCTTCAGGATGTTAGCTCGATCATCTAGTTGTAAACAAAAATTGAGCAAAAATATCTGTAAACAGGTATTGGAAGAAAGGAACGAGTGGCTGAAGGATTCGCAGCTGGCATCGACCTCGGGTATGTCATTGCGGTGTGCGGTATTCAAAGAAGACCTTCATGCTGGAATTCTCAATGGAAAAAACATAGAAGTTTCGTTCGATAATTTCCCATACTACTTAAGGTATGCTTTTCTTCTTGCCATCTTTAGTTCTCAATTTCATGTTATCCAGGTGAATTCATGTTCTCAAATGGCTTTTTTTTTTTTAATTTTAAGTTTCATAGATTTTTGGTATGACATCATTTCTCATACTTTCTACTGGCATAGTACAACATATAAATATGATTATTGTTGCTAGTTGTCAGAGAAAATGTTCGCGTGCCTGGCTGTTTTCGTGCATTTAAACTGTCTATTCTCCTAATGCGAAATTGTGGTTCTGATTTGAATGTTGAAAAATGAAAAAAGCTGCAGTTTTAGTTCCACTGGGTGCTCTATTTGTTTCAGGCATGATTTTTAATGCTCCTATGCCAACAGCCTTCCCTGATATTGGCAGTATTGCACTAGTCTACTGGTGGAATATTCCTTGTTAATGTCCCTCTGTTTGTTAATCTTATGTCACGCCACCAGTTACAATGATTGTTGATTAGGGAAACCCATGGTAGAACTGAAAGGGTGAACGATAATTTCCTTGGTATAAGCTGGCTTAGAAACCCAAGGTCTCATGGATAATTTGCCTTGCAAAATGATGGATTGAGTTTATAGGAATTCAGTATATGATACAACTAGGATTTAAGATCTGAAATGTCTCATTATGAAAGGAAGGGATGGTAGAAATGGGAAGGAGAAGAACAAAGTAAATATGGGTAGACCCATGGACATTTTATGATTAGGATGTCTGAAGCTGAGAGAAGCTGAGTACATGTTAACCTGGGATGTTATGCCTTTTTGAATGGCGACCCTACCTATGAGCTTGATAAACCTGTTGAAACAAAGTAATCAATGAAGACAGATGAGAAATTGACGAACATATTGCACACCTGTACACAGCTTGAATATGCATCCATGTAAAACCTTGAAGCTGGATTTGGAAAAGCCAAGCTTTTGGATTTGCATCTTGTTCAGACACTGGTACTGAGGATACCTCACTCAAAAATATCTCGGGAGATGTGCCAAACAAAGGGGATGGTCTGATCAGATATGTTATCCATCAGGATGTGGTGACAATGCATGGCAGTTTTGGAGGTGAATTACACTTGTTGTGTCACAAGCTGGTCATCCATTGAGGAATGGAACATTTGTTCGACTTGCAATGTCTGACCTGTTCGTTGGGGAAAGATTAACATAGCAACTTACTGAATGCATTACACAGATCTCCCTGCCTGTGGACATGGGACATGTGAAATGGATGGTTTGAACTGCACAAAGCAAAAGTCCACATTTTCTGGTTGCTGAGAGCCGAATGGCTGTGGCATATTATCCCTGTGATGTGGTGACTGATGTGGCCGCACCTATCCTTCATTTCAGTGTTATGCGAAATTTGTTGTATAAAAATTAAACTGCAATGCATGTGTGTGATTTTGATTCAGTGGTGATTTTACCTTATAGACATGTAATTTTCATTAAATGGTTCTTTTTACCTCAGAGATTTGGTACCTCCAATAAATTCTGTAATCTTAATCAAGTAGGAAGACACAAGGTTCATTTTAACATAATTTTATTAACCAGGGATTGCAAATGGCATGATTATTTATTTGCATGTCAATCTCAGATTTGCCATCTTTCTTCTGCAGTGAGAATACAAAAAATGTGCTGATTGCAGCTTCATTTATACACCTGATGCACAAAAAATATGCAAAATATACCTCAGAACTAACTACAGTCAATCCGCGTATTCTGCTTTCTGGCCCCGCAGGTTTGTGGGCTTTTTACTTCCGTTGTTTTATTTTAGAGTTTGGAAAGCTTAACTTTTATGAGAAAGCTTGACCTTCCCCCCCCTTTTGAATGCTGTTTGTAGGTTCTGAGATATACCAGGAGATGTTGGCAAAGGCTCTTGCCAATTACTTTGGCGCTAAATTGCTTGTGTTTGATAGTCATTCATTTTTGGGTGTAAGCTAAAACTGATGTGCTTGGCTATTATAGCTTTCCATCTGTTGTTTATGAAGACCAATAATCGCCAATTGTTAATTTGCAGGGTTTGTCTTCCAAGGAAGCTGAGCTTTTGAAGGATGGAACTAATGCAGAAAAATCCTGCACTTGTTCTAAACAAGTTCCTGTGACAACAGACCCATCAAAGAGTGTGAATATATCAGCTGGTGAAACAGACACACCTAACTCTTCAAACGCACCTGCTAGCCAGGAATTGTTTGAGATGGAAGACACCCTGCCTTCTTCTTCCGGTCCAGGGGCAGCGAGGAATCGCTTGTTTAAAATAGGTATTTAAGCTATTCCTGGAGAGGCCTTCTATTTGCTGTTCCACTTTTCTTTCACATTCTTGATCTTTTGATTTTCCTTGAGCTCTGGCATAGCAATATACTCCAAACATTAACATGCAGGTGACAGAGTGAAATTTACAAGCTCATCTTCTAGTGTCTTGTATCAAACAGCATCACCATCAAGGTACAATCAGTGTGGACTTGGAAAACTCTTTGTTTTAATGTTCTCCATTTGTTGAAGGCATTATTCCTTTTCTTTTCTTTTTCTTCTTTTTTTTGTCTTCTGTCTTGCATTAGGCATTTTTCTTTTTTTTTGTGGCTGGTATTCTTTCATGATAAAATTTTTAGTCTTCCTAGAAAAAAAGATTATTTACTTTTGCTTAACTGAAAAAACAACAAATCCCACATACTTGGATGATTGAAAAAGCCCCGGTGGTTGCTTAATTAGGAGCTGTATTTGATATAATTTGGATTTGCTAAGGAATTGTTGAGCAGGGCTCGCTTCTGCTGTTTGAAGTAAACAATTCACTTCGCACGTTATTCTTACTATATGGATGGATGCCCAAAAAATAGCGCCTTGTCAAAATTGATGAGAAAATTGATCCTGAATTGATTTTACTTTTGATCGAGATTAGGGATAATGTTTGATTTGATTGTAGCATTAATGCAAATCATAATTAACTAGGACTTGAAGTGTTAGGAAATAAAAGAGTGCAGATTAGAAAGAACAACAGAAGCACTTATTTGAGAGAGCTTTAATGCTATTCATGGAGCTGTAGCCTGTTAAGGTCTGGATTGTTGTGAATATTCACGATCAAGAATGACTATATCAACCTGTTATAAATGCTAATGTAAATACAAACATGGTTAAGTTGATCTAATTTTGGTAAAATTGAAGCTTAATGTATCCAGTGTTTCAGATCTGCATTCCCTTTGGCAATACAGAAGAACCAGCATGTACCAAAAAAAAGACGAAAAAAAAGAATGAAAGAAAAAATAAAGAAAAAGAAAACTCAAAGAAAAGAAAAGGAAAAGGAAAAGCGAGAAGCAACACTATGGTTTATGAGGGAGGAAGGGAAATAAAACAATAAAAGGCATAGCATTCTAACATGTTGGCAGCTTAATTCTCTCTCCCTTTCTATGTGTTGTCTCCTTGATTGATTTCACTCAATTTTACTCAGACAAGCAACCCATCATATTCTTCTATAGTTATTCTCTTTCCAATTTGTAGTTTTTTGCTGTCTTCTTTATGTTCTTAATTTTGTTGTTGTTGATGCAGCTTGATATTTAACCTTCGATCCCCTCTTAACTCTTAATGCAGGGGCCCGCCCTATGGGATTCGTGGGAAGGTTGTTTTGCCTTTTGAGGACAATCCTTTGTCAAAAATCGGTGTGAGATTTGATAAACCAATACCTGATGGTGTCGATCTTGGAGATGTTTGTGAGAAAGGTCATGGATATTTCTGTAATGGTATGTTGAACTGGATCATAAACATTGTCATGCACATATACTTGATAAATGGTTCTATCTTTTCTTTCTTTTTTTAATCTCAAGTTATTTAAGTGTCTTTTACTTTCTCTCTAGTTACTGATCTTCGTTTGGAGAACACAGCTGTTGAAGATTTGGACAAATTACTCATTAACACATTGTTTGAGGTAGAATAGTTTAGTTCTTAAGCAATTGTAACTCATTTTGTTCTGGCATGTTTTATTCCATTTTGTTGACTTGCAAAATCTTATTGAATCTTTCTTCAGGCTGTACACAGCGAGAGCAGAAATTCTCCTTTCATTTTGTATATGAAAGATGCAGAGAAATCTATTGTAGGCAATTCGGATTCATATTCTACATTCAAAAGCAGACTCGAAAAGCTTCCTGATAATGTGGTAGTAATTGGTTCTCACACACAAAATGACAATCGGAAAGAGAAGGTAATTTTGATGCAGTCATTTATTAGTTTGTTTTAGTTTTGGCACGCATGAAATTTCTTCTATTCAAAGATTAACAATCTAAATTTATTTTTGACAATCAGAAAGAGAAGGTAATTTTAATGTAGTTATTTATTTGTTTGTTTTTATTTTTGCATGCATGAAATTTCTTCTATTCAAAGATTAATGGTGCTGATCTAAATTTATTTTTGAAATTCTGGTTTCATTGAAGTTCAATGATGGAATTGAGGCTTCTCATTCTTTTGTTTCCTCAGTTTTAAACAAAGTCAATGAATTCAATATCGCTGTAGAATTTAGAAAGTTTATTCCAGAGTATTTTTTCAAGTGCGTGTCTTCTGTTTTTGTAACATGTACAAGTCACACAAACATTTTTCTGCTGTCATAGCTTTTATGGTAGATAAGAGGAAAAGAGTGTGAACATGTTGTACTTATTCATTTTAGAAGTCATGGATTCAAAAGGCAATGATAGTGCTTTGATGGGTGCCTTCTTTAAACAGAAATTGAGTCCTGATATAGTTTTTTGGGTGATGAAAGTGCCTGTCATCATTAACTATGATGAGCCAACACTGGTTAATGAAGATTCACAGACTTGACGAGCATTGAGGGCATTTGTGCATCACTGAATTATGTTTGGAAATTGTCTTAGTCGAGTTAATTCAACTCAACTAAGCCTTAGACCCGCTTAGGCACACGAATCCCTTTGCAAAACAGTTTGTCCAGTTTTAGGTGCTAATGAGGCAATGTGTAAATTCTATGAGCTTAGCTCCAAAATCATCACAAGTGGAGGAAGTGGCATGCTGCATTAAAAAATATAGATTATAGACCTATCTAGGAGCTATAGGCATCACACTGGACTCAGTTGAGATCCTTCACTTTTCTTTTAAAAACAAACAATTTGTAGTTCATTATATGTTCCTTCAACTTTGTTGTGCAAGTCCTTGGACTTGAAGAGGGGTGGGGGGGGGGGTGGGGGTGGTTGTTCGCTTTAAAAATTTGAGCCTGTATGTTGCGTGGCAAAGAATTTTCTCTCAACCTTGCATTGTATCGTTTATTCTCTTGCTATACAAATCTTGTCATTTACTTACGCCATGGTGTTTTTCCCCTTGCAGTCACATCCTGGTGGTCTTCTTTTCACAAAATTTGGCAGCAATCAAACTGCTCTTCTTGACTTGGCTTTTCCGGTGACTCTATCCCTCCCCACAACTTTTGTTTTTTTTTTTTGTATTTTTGTTTAAAGTTGCAACAGATATTTCTTTTTCTGTCCTGACATTTTCGTTCTTTTATTGTATACACGGGTGTGTGTGGTTCTTTTATTTATTTGTGAAAAGGGAATTATTCCATCTCTATGCACTTCTTGAATGTAATATTGCTACTTTTCTATGCTTCTGAGTGCTATGTATCAAAACAAAGGAAATGTGTGCTTGCAGGTTTCTTCTTTTCTGTGGATGATTGGCGTTATCATAATTTCATTTATTTTTATTGTTTGGCTTTGTTCTAGTGTGTTCAAAATAGCAGTCTTAAGAATCTTGCAATAAATAAATAAATCCACGTCTTTTGTTATTGAGAGATGTTTTAAGAATAGTCTCATTGAATCAGTGCATCATGTGGTTATTTTTTGTTGCCTTTTACAATATTCTTAGCCAATATATTAAGTGAAAATAGTTGACATGTTTGCTAAAAAGCTAGATGCCATGCATATGGAGCGAACTTTTTTACACTTGCATCAGCCTTCCTGAGACATTTTATACTGGGGGTATTGTGTCAGTTTGGAGGCCTTTTCATTTTATTACTGTTTTTTAGATCTCTTGTTGAAAGGGAGAACCATTTGATTAATATTTCTGGGAAGTAATGCATTGTCTGTGCAGCACTTTCTTTATTAAGCTGTCTATTAAGCTGTCTCTTTTCCTCCCTTGTCTCTCTCTCTCTCTCTCTCTCTCAGGCGAGCTTGTACTTGGGCGATTGATAACTTTGTATTACATTATGACTGGTTTTGATTTTCTGATGATTGATTTTGGTGCCTTCTGATCTTTTCAGGATAGTTTTGGAAGACTTGGTGAAAGGGGGAAGGAAGTGCCAAAGGCAACGAAGCTTCTGACTAAGCTCTTTCCAAATAAAGTAGCTATTCATATGCCACAGGTGTGTGTGATGGATATTTTTTTCCTCTTTGATTTGAACAAAAATTCATGTGCAGTGTATCATTGATGGTTGTTAATTGATGCAGGATGAAACGCTTCTAGCATCTTGGAAGCATCAGTTGGATCAAGATGCTGAAACTCTTAAAATGAAGGGGAACCTAAATAACCTTCGCACTGTGAGATATTGATCCCATAATATAGTTTGCAGCTCCTTTTGTTTTGTTTATTGATTGACATTTTTAGCTTCAGTTTGGCTGATTTTTTACTTGACTGAGCTTCATTTGACAAGATAATTTAGGTTTTTTTGTATAAATAGTTCAGTCACTGATTCCATGCATGTGATAATGTTATCCATCCATGTTCTTATATAATTTTCTGTTGCTGCTTGATTTTTCTGGTTGGTCGAACCTTGTGGTGCATCAGTCCCTAAAATAACCATCATCCTTCAGTAAATATGTCAAGCCTAGCCATTTGTGGAAAACTTTAGAGCAATAGTCTTGATGCGCTTTTCATTTTGCTTTTGGGCAAACAGTTGAACAGAGTGTCTTCAACTGTTCATTGCAGTTCAAATGTTAGAACACATCTTAGCTTTTGGCTGTGAAGTATGTTTGAAAGGGAGGAAAGCCGGAGGAAAGAAATTACGTTCTTTGTGAGAAGAAGATAATGTGAAGGCGAAGGGATGTTGGCCTGTAGCCCCACTAAAATCAAATTCTTGAAAGTGGAGACGCTCTGTGAGGGGAAAAGAATAGTTTTACTCATTGTCCCCCAAAAAAATTTCTTTAAAACAAAAGGATGGATTTGGATTTTTTGTTTCTTTTCGCTTTCTTTCCTTAAAATTTCATCCCTCAAAACTGAAATTGTTTCCTCTCCACAACTCCCTGCTCTTCAGTTCCTGTCTTGAAAAGATGGTGATGGATTACCTGTTTGGTGAGAGATGCCGATGTGGAGTCAAGGCAAATTATTGATGCCATGGTAGTAGCAAATAAGGTTGTAGATGCTCATACAAGTGAGGGGGCTGTGTGGCGAGGTTGACATGGAGAATACTTTATTTTCATGTTGAAGCTTTCTTGTGTGTTTAAGAGAATGGCCTTCAATGATAGTTGGAGGAAATGGATATTATGTGTATTGCATAATACTCAAGTGTTGTCATGTTTTGTCTCAGCTTCTGGTGGTCTCAGACAAAGGGATCTGGTTAGTCCCTGTAGATGGATGATACCCTACTGGTGGCTACATACATGTACTTGGCAGAACGTTTTTCAAGGAAAATTAGTTGACAACTTTATGCTTTACTTGTTTCCCTGACTTCAGTTATGTTCCATCTCATGTATACTATTTAATATTTTTCTTTACTTGAAGTCTTCTAGATATTGTGTTGAAAAACATTGTGATAATGTGTGTGAGTCTGCTTTCACATATATTCAGAAAGGTGGACATTGAATGGCCTTCTTTTATTGTGATAAATGTTAACTCGTGTATGCCCTCTGCTTCCTTCTTATTTTTTTTAATGTTTTGTTTCTGTTTTATTGCACTCAATCTGGTTGGAGATTAAGCAGTATTTGATGAAATCAAACAGTACCTTTTCTTTCATAACCATCTAATTTCTGTGCATATAAAGCACTATGATGGATATTGTAAATGGTGGTACAAGTTTAAAATTAAGGCATTTGGAGATGGGTCCTTTCTTAATGCATGCCATTTCATCTGTAGGTTTTGGGCCGGTGTGGGATGGAATGTGAAGGACTTGAGACATTATGCATCAAGGATCAAACAATCACAAATGAAAGTATGTTCTGTACATAACACATTGCAATGTTAACTATTTTGAGTGATCTTTTCAAAAACTCATGTTTTGGTGTGCAATGCAGGTGCAGAGAAGGTAGTTGGTTGGGCACTGAGTCATCATCTAATGCAGAATTCAGCTAATGCTGATGCTGATGTGAAGCTTGTTTTGTCCAGCGAGAGGTAATTGATAGCTTTATTGTATCATTTTCTTGACTCATATTGATTACTGTGTTGATTACACGTTTGTAATGCTGCTTTGCAATACTCGCAGCATCCAATATGGGATTGGAATCTTGCAGGCCATCCAGAATGAATCTAAAAGCTTGAAGAAGTCACTCAAGGTGATCAATAGATTCTCACTTGAAGATACTACTAAATGCTTATTCACATGCACAATTTTTTTTGAAGCATGGAGCTTTAAGGAGCTACCTAATTTCCTATTTGGGAAGGTTTCATGTGCTGATCACTTTAGTGATTTTTTTTGGACACAATCAGGATGTCATGACAGAAAATGAATTTGAGAAAAGGCTTTTAGCTGATGTTATTCCACCTAATGACATTGGAGTGACATTTGATGATATTGGAGCTCTTGAGAATGTCAAGGACACCTTGAAAGAGTTGGTGATGCTTCCTTTACAAAGGCCGGAACTTTTCTGCAAGGGGCAATTAACCAAGGTCTCTGCATATCTCTATATTTGGTGAAACAAGTTATTTCATTTAAAGGAACTTCAACATTTGTTTCTTCAACATTTGTTTTTAAGTAATAGGATTAGGCTGTGATGTGTATATGAAGAAAGGTATATACTCACGGTGATCGTATGAGTGCAGCCTTGCAAGGGCATACTTTTATTTGGACCTCCTGGAACTGGAAAGACTATGCTAGCTAAGGCAGTGGCAACTGAAGCTGGTGCTAATTTCATCAACATTTCAATGTCCAGCATCACGTCTAAGGTTAAGATTATAGCATGCCTTCTTCAATTTATATATGGATTTTATTTTCTGATCTAAAACTTATTCTAATTTCGCATGCTACAGTGGTTTGGTGAGGGTGAAAAGTATGTCAAAGCTGTATTCTCGCTAGCCAGTAAAATTTCCCCTAGTGTTGTCTTTGTTGACGAGGCATGCTTCTTTTTACTCTTTCAGCGTTTTGCACACCCACATCCACACCCACTCACATTGAATATAAACTCAATTATTTTTCTGTGGTTCGGCTGTGGTGAACAGGTTGACAGCATGTTGGGCAGGAGGGAAAATCCTGGAGAGCATGAGGCCATGCGGAAGATGAAAAATGAATTTATGGTGAATTGGGATGGTCTACGAACAAAAGATACAGAACGAGTTCTTGTACTTGCAGCTACTAATAGGCCTTTTGACCTTGATGAGGCTGTCATTAGAAGGCTGCCACGAAGGTAATATTTTATTTCACAACAGGCTTATTGCTCTGATTTTTTGGGCTCTTATTTCTCATGCATAGTCCTTTAGGAATATGTAAATTTTGTTTCTACAAACCTATGTTCTTTTAATGCCAGTTCATTTTCATTTACTTTTACAGATTGATGGTAAATCTGCCTGATGCTCCAAATAGAGCCAAGATACTGAAAGTCATTTTGGCAAAGGAAGATTTGTCTCCTGATATTGATTTTGATGCAATTGCCAGCATGACCGATGGATATTCTGGAAGTGACCTTAAGGTTTTAGCTCTTGTTCTTCCTCTTGATTACTTTTATTTTTGTTTTTATCGAACTTGGTGATTGTCTTACATCTATACATGCTGTATGGCAGAACCTATGTGTAGCTGCTGCTCACAGACCAATTAAAGAGATATTGGAAAAGGAAAAGAAGGTTTGTCCATGTTCTTTTTTCTTCACCATCAAAGAGCTGTTAGGTTAAATTCGATGCATTTACACTTATGATCAGCATGTAATTATCTTACAATGTCCTTTTCTCCTGTTCCATGCACCTTCTTTCAAGCATCTGTGGTGTACTGTGTTATTTATGGGAAAAAAGAAAAAGAAAATGGTGTCCAGTGTATTGTATAACTATATTTGCTCATAAAATGCCCACACAAATACACTGCACTCCAATCAAGTTTTAACGAGACAAGTATGGATATCAGATAATATGATCTGTTGTCAGTTTAGCTTCATGAAAATCCTTTTGGCAGTTCCAAGTATTGGGTTTTGCTGCTACTGGCTGGATGCCACTGAAATTAATTGAAGAGTTTGTGCTTATCTAGCTAAGCCTTATTTTATTTTACGGGCAGAATTAGATTATCCTAGGATTACTTCTAATATCACAATTTATTACAGGAACAGGCTGCAGCTCTAGCAGAAGGTAAGCCTGCCCCCGCTTTAAGTGGGAGTGCTGATATCCGGCCCCTAAACATGGTCGACTTTAAAGATGCTCATGAACAGGTAAAAATGATCCAGATTTTATGGACTTGTTTCATCTGCTTGTTCTTGTTATGATATTTTCCCTGTATTTAAATAGGTATGTGCAAGTGTTTCATCTGAGTCAGTAAACATGACTGAGCTCTTGCAATGGAATGAACTGTATGGAGAAGGTGGTTCTAGAAGAAAGAAGGCTCTTAGCTATTTTATGTAAATTTTCCCTTGTGCAACAGCTTCATATTTTCGTACAAATCTCCCATTCCTAAGTAATTTTGCCGGTCTCAATTAGGGCTTGTCGAGCAGCCATTTTGTCTGTAAGGTGAAATATAGGCTTTTCTAAATCATGTTTATTTTCTAATCTCAACTGTGGGGATGGTTGGTATAAAGGGCGTGAAGCTTTTGTTTTGTTCTCAGTCCCCTTTGTATTGCATTAACATTTATTGTTGATCTTAAGCTTATTAACATCTGAAATAGAGAAGAGAGTAGAGAAACTGAAGACCTGTCAATATAGTGTATCGTTAACTATAGTGAATTATTTATGGTGTCTTGATTGAACAGTCAAGGTAAGAGGAGTATTTGCCTTTTCTTCTTTTTTGTGTCAATCATTATTATTATTATTATTATTATTTTTGGAGGCTTGCTTGATGTTTAAGCACTCTATGATTTGATTTGCCCATTGTCTGTTGAGATAAGGGAAGGTTTCTTCTGGATTTATGGTCAGAATTCTTATTTAACTAGTTAATTAGAATCTTTTATTGGAGCAATATTTCGATTACTTGCCTTTTCTTCTTTTTTGTGTCAATCATTCCTCCTCTTTCTAACGTTCGTCGAGCTTTTGATGTTTTATCAAGTTAATGTAGGCATTAGAAGTTTGTAACATGTAAACATCCCTTGAAATTCTCTGATTAATCATGAAAATAATGAAGTACAAAGTGTGCGCGCGTGCGTGTTCAAGCAGCTTTTTCTCCCGGAAGTGACCCTTAGCAAAGGGACATCAAAGATGTTAGATGTAGTTTGGGAGTTTTGTCAGGGGAAAATAAAAACTAACCAACTTAGAATAAGTGCCTAAAGAAATCATAAATCATAGCTGGAAAAATGAAACTTAGTTTAGCAAGTCGAGCGACAAATACTTTATCCAACAAGAAAATGTATTACTTATCTGAAGGGAGCTTGACTTGGAAGGTTCGATTCCACTAATCTATAGATTACTGGATTGAGATTAATTTAGAAATATTCTCAACCTATATGTAGCTAGAAGATCTATCTATCTATCTATCTATCTACCTATCTATCTATATATATATATAAGGAAATCATATTAGAAGATAATCTCAAGCTCGAGTTGTTTATGAAGCTCATAAAATTATTAGTTGTTTGTACTGTAGAAGAACCTTGTTTAAAAAGAGTCTCATTGCTAAACTGGCTATTTAAGAGCATTAATTTGAAGGAGAGATTGTGAGATAAGAAAAGAAAAGATTTCTGGATCATAAAGTATTTTTTATAGAATCTTTGTTTAGCTAATTAATTACAATATATATTGAATTAATACTTATAATATTTATTGGAATATGATTGTTTGAGCTTATAATTTCCATGCAAATATAAAGATCATGTATTCAGAATTTAGCAAGTGTATTGAATATCAATAAATAAAAAGAAACAAGAGACACAGCTCCACACGCTCATGCATGCATGGCTCACCATTTTTCATATAAAAAGACAAAAAAGACTACACTCGTATCGTATATGGTTACATAAACACGACCTGAGACCTTAAAAGCCATTTCTACTCTTCAAACCCATGACCATTTAGACATATGGGAGTCACTAATGTTGCAGACAAAAGCACTTAAATCGAGAAAAAGGGAGAGAAACTCTCCTGTTGAAGCTGCTGCATGCGCTGTTGCTACGGTCTTTGCTGTTTCTGTCTGTTGAGTCCAAGCTGCTGCAAGGACCACTTGAAGCTGATGTTGGTGTTCTCTTCCACTGTTGTCACCTGAAGATGAGGTTAGGGCTGTTGGATGTTCAGATCTCTAGAGAAAACAAGGGACACGCTACTGCTACCTGTTTTTCTTTCCTCCTTTTCCCTCCAACTTCTTCCTCCTTTTTTTTGTGCTCCTCCCTCCTCCTACTGGAGAACCTCTAATCCCTAGAGCACTGCTGTCTTGGCCAAATCATGGCTTTTGATTTGAGCCAGCTAATCTTGGCCATCCAACCATACATAATTAACTTGGCTGTTTCTGTCCTGTTTTTGCAGCTGTCAGGGGGCTGCGATGACTGAGGTTTTCGAACTTTATGTGCAGCTAGTACAAGAGGATGAATGGAGGCATATGTGTATTCATTTTGAAGCAACAAAATAGGAAAAAAGGTCATGACAACATGTTCTGTATTGGCAGCGTTTGGAATGGTGGTATAATGTACCATCTTTTTGGTGTATTAGCAGCTTGAATGAAGGACTAGACGGTGTGGTTTTTCGCCAGCGAGCATGAACTTGGAGGCCAAAGTGCTTTCTTTTCGGGAAGACGTCGAAATTAACAAGCATTCTTGATTTTCTGTGGGCACGAGGCAGGAAGATGTCGTTTGTTTGTCTGTCTCGATGGTTAAAAATCGTGAAATGATTTGAAAACACAATTTTTTTTTTTAATTTTAAAAAAAATTATAAGAAAAGTAATCTAAACGAGGGTTAAAGTCGTAAAAGCATTTTGTTAGAAGGGTCACAATCGCAACGTATTTTTTATTTTTTCACCCTCTTTAGATTTTTTAAAAATATTTTGGAACGGGTTAGGGTTCTGAATCCAAATTATTATGTTTAGGAAGCACATTGAAGAATATTACAAAGTTGGAGGACTAAATAAAAAATGTTTTTCCAAAATAAAACTGATCCTACCTCTGTCTGCGCTGTATAAATAGCCAAAACACACCGTATCCTACACAATTTCTCCCTCCTTCTGAATCCAAAATGGCAGTGGATCCGATCCAAACACCACCACCACCAAGATCCGCTAATGATTTCTTCTCGGACCCGCTCGATTTCCACCCGTTATGGTTTAAACCGAACCTTTTCCTCTCTCCGAACTTCGACTCCGACTCTTATATTTCGGAGCTCCGAACTTTTGTCCCCTTCGACACTCTCCGATCGGAACTCCAAGCACACTTAGCTTCCCTGAATCACGAATTAATCGATTTAATCAACCGCGATTACGCAGATTTTGTTAATTTAAGTACCAAACTGGTCGATGTGGATTCTGCTGTCGTTCGGATGCGGGCTCCGTTATTGGAGCTCCGAGAGAAGATTGAAGGGTTTAGAGGGAGTGTGGAGTCGTCTCTTGTGGCTCTGAAGAATGGATTGGAGCAGAGATCGGAAGCGGCGGTGACCAGAGAGGTTTTGGAGTTGTTGCTGGATACGTTTCATGTTGTTTCTAAGGTATAAGGTCGTTTTGTTTGATTGGATTCTGTCATTTTGGTGATGTAGTAAGAGTTACTAGATCTAGCTACTATTTGTGTAGAATTGGAATTTCGTTTTATTGATTGGGAGATGTCATTTTTGGGATGAGTGTCCTGTAGAGTGAAAAAGGTGCTAGATCTTAGAAGCGTGTAGAATTGGAATTCAGAATGAAAGGGATTGTTTCTCTAATTAGGTTTTCGAATATGCTGAATTCTTGTTTCATATTTTTTGTAGTAATTTTTATTTATATGTATTTTGGAGTGCAGGTTGAGAAACTGATAAAGGAGCTACCGAGTGTGCCTGCTGATTGGTCGAATGGAGATGTGAACTCAACAGAGAAGAATGCTGCAAGCAACGGCAGCATCGAGAATGGGACAAATGTAAGAGAGACTCAAAGCATGCTTTTGGAGAGAATTGCCAGCGAGATGAATCGACTGAAGTTCTATATTGCTCATGCACAGGTCTGTGTTTGCTCATACCTACTAATTTTTTATACATGCGTAGGAACAAGTTTTATAGAATTCTAGTTCAAGGGCTGTTGAAAATGCATAAGCATATAAAATGTAGTAAAGTCAATGATTTTTTCATAGAAGGTCATACAATTTGTGCTTATGTCTATTCTCTCTTATGCCAGTACAGAGCCTCCCTTTCATTCAGAACATGGAGAAGAGGATTCAAGGTGCGAGCTTGTTGTTGGATGCAAGTTTGGGACATTGTTTTGTAGATGGACTGGAGCACCGGGATGAAAATGCAATCTATAACTGTTTGCGTGCTTATGCTGCTATTGATAATACCAGTAGTGCAGAAGAAATTTTTCGCACGACTATTGTGGCTCCCTTAATGCAGAAAATTATTCCACATGGACCATCAGGAGGGGTTGTTGGGGCATCAGGAGATGGACTTGAAAATGATTACCAAGAAATCAAGAAATGCATTGAGAAGGACTGTAAATTCCTTTTGGAGATATCTTCTGCCGGTACTTTCATTTACTGATTTATCACTTTCACCCTTGCAGCTCGGCAAAGCCTCTTCTTAATTATTTGGCTCATCGGCTTGTATGAAATAGATCAATGTTTGTAGCTTTGTTTCTGGCCTGGAGTTGATCTGTTGATTCTTGTCAACATCTTTCTCTTGAGGTGCCCCTGATCCAAGCTGCATTACTGCTTAACATATTTACTGATCTCAATTGCATGGGGGACCAATTTATCTGTCTTTATTTCATTTTTTTGGTGTCACCCTTCTCTGTCACCCTGTTTAACTTGCATGTTTTGGGTAAATGTTGTTTTACATGAAGCATTGGAATTAAATTGTTGTGCCCTGTTGAACAATCTTCTATATTATACTTATATACTTGCAAGTTATCCTGCTGTTATTTTAGTGTAAATACATTTTTCAGAACTTGTATCCCTTTCATCATGAAGGCATGCCATAAATATACCAGCTCTGTTCCTGTGTCTTTGAATGCAACTTATTGTTTCCTCTTTGTTTTTGTTTTTTTTTTCCAGAAAATTCAGGGTTGCATGTATTTGATTTCTTGGCTAATTCAATTCTGAAAGAGGTTTTCTCTGCGATTAAAAAGGGAAAGCCAGGTGCTTTTTCCCCTGGAAGACCTACTGAATTCTTGATAAATTACAAATCAAGCCTAGATTTCTTGGGTCATCTTGAAGGTAGCATGTGGCACCTTTTTAACACTTGGTTCTATTTTACATTACTCCCTCGGGATTAAGAAAGTTTGCAGGCTGATATGATTACTCTGTAGGATTATATGAAAATGTATTGTGTTCATTGTAATTATAATGTCCAATTGTCATGCAAGGCTATTGTCCATCCAGATCTGCTGTCACTAAGTTTCGAGCTGAAGCCATCTATGTTGAATTCATGAAGCAATGGAATGTTGGGGTTTATTTCTCTTTGAGGTATGCAGCACAGCTTCTTCTTTTTTTTTTTTTGTCTCCTAAGTTTATTTTGAATTGACATATCTGTTGGTCTAATTTTATTTAGTGTATTGGTACATCCTGTCATGAGGCTGATCGTGCATCTGCTAAAGACAGGTTCCAGGAAATAGCTGGTGCTCTGGATTCTGCACTTGCAACAACCAGTCTGATTCCAGTTCACAATTCACCTTCTGGTAATGGAAGTTCTCAAGATTTAACATTAAAACAAAGCATCACTCTTTTGGAGAGCCTGAGATCTTGCTGGAGAGAAGATGTTCTCATCCTCTCCTGCTCTGACAAGTTTCTTCGCTTAACATTGCAGCTTCTATCAAGGTGAGAATCAATAATTGACAGCTATTATCTGCTTGATTGGATACTTTTTTTGATATAATGTTTTATAAATAATATCTAACATCTGTGTTGATTGACAAACATTTGACAGATTTTCAAATTGGTTGTCATCTGGGCTGGCTGCTCGTAAGGCGTGTAATAGTGGCTCCAACTCTGGATATGAATGGGCAGCTTCAGCAGCTCCTAATGATTTCCTCTACGTATGTGTTGTGTCATGATTCTTTTATTTGTCTTTTGTGTGACATGAATATAAACCTTGAAATCTTGATCAAAAGAATGCCTTAAGCTAAAGGTCTTGATATCTCATTGTGTTATACACCCCCCACTCTGGACCATTTTGCAGTCTAGTGTGGCTAATGCAAACCATTCCTGGAACATGTACACCTACTATCCTTGGTCTTGCTCAAGTGAGACAGATACTTTGCATCAAGTGAGACATGAACTCGGAGCTTTCTCTATGTGAGCCATCATCCCACCACTTACACTTCATAGCCCTAATGTTTTTACATTACTTGAGTGATGATGCTAAAGATAGCAACTTCTTTACTTAATTTATTTTACCAGCTAATGAAGCAACTTACACCACATTATATGGTTACTATTTAATGTAATCGTAGCACGTGTGCAGGGAATGTGTCAATTGTCTTGTTACTGTGATTTAAAACACTCCTATATCTAGGTTCCACATTAATTTACTGTAAATAAGTATTAATCCCATATGCATGAGTAACAATGATTATGCTCAACCAGCATTTTGATAGAGGTTCTTTGATTTGCAGATTATTCATGACATAAATTGTTTGGCCACTGAGGTCTGTGGAGATTACCTTGAGCATGTGCTTCAGCTTCTATCTTCATGTTCTGCAGATGTACTTGATCTAGTAAAACAAAGCATTTTACAAGGTGGGAAGTCATTAAATGATTTAACACCTTTAGCTATCAATGCAATCACAGATGCACTAGTTGATGAAGCTGTTAAGGTGAGCTGTATTTGGGATTGACTTTGTTTAAGAATGCTTGGCTTCCTTCTGCCTTGGACCTTTTCTAGATGTAATGTTGCCATAAAAAGTTATTTATTAATGGATAGTTGGACATGTTGAAACATTATTCCTGACCCTGTTAAATTAGTGTTTTGAACATTTAGTAACAAAGATTGTTGCACAGGGCTTGAAAGACGTGAAGGCAATTGCTACGACTTTCAGGATGACTAATAAGCCTATTCCTAGCAGACATTCACTCTATGTATCCGGGTTGTTAAGCCCCTTAAAGAAGGTACATATAGTCTTCTTTGCTTGTGACTCTTTTTTTTTGCTCTGTTTCCAGCCTTCCAGAGATGTAACTTGTCCTATATTGTAATGAGCTTTAAACATACGGATGCTGTCGTGAATTGGTTTTATTATGAACTTTGCATTGACCCCATGACTTTGCTTCTAGGATTTTCTGGATATGGAGAAACACAACCCTTATTTGACTAGGGAGACTATTAAGGAGTTACGGCATGGGGCTGCAACTGAGATTACTGGTCGTTATTATGACATGGTTGTTGAGATCGTCAGTGTGGTCAGTGTCCAAATTATATTACTGCATCTTTATTTTGAAATTCTCGACTTTAATATGTCCATTCATTATACTCAGGCTAGGAAGACAGAGTCTTCACTCCAGAGATTAAAGAAGGGTGCCCAAAGACGAGCTGGAGTAAACTCAGATGTGTCAGATCCCTCTGTATCTGATACTGACAAGCTATGTATGCAATATTTCCTTGATATTCAGGTGAGGATTGTCCTTCATCTCCCTCTATCTTTCACCCATTGATGTGCACCCATAAGCACAAGCATGCATACAGCCATAGTCAACTCCACCCATATAGAGGAACAGTTGGTGTGTATGTTTGCAAATGAAATGGCCTGTGCTTTATTGGACTTACATGTTTGCAATTTATCAGGAGTATGGACGTAACCTCTCTTCCCTTGGGGTTGATGCAAAAGGAATTCCTGCATATCGATCCCTGTGGCAATGTGTCGCTCCCCCAGATAGACAAAACGTGATTGATTTGTGAGAGATGGCATTGTTTGCCAACCAGTTACTAATCTACTTTCATTTGTCAATTCCCTACATGTTTATTTGGTGTAAATTGAAGTCAGTGTGATGTCCCTTTTTCTTCATTTTTTTAATCTTAATCCATGAAAATATCCTCTGTTCGTACTAGTGATCCTTTTCTTTTCTTTTCTTTATGAGGACGACTTTTGTACTAGCTACTTTGATTTTTTTACGTAATGTTTAATTCACGAGTAAATAAAGAAGTAACTTTTAATGTTGTAGCTAATTCTTTGAAATCTTGGTTTGTTTTTGTATTCTAAAAATATTTTAAAATAAAATAATTTTTTTTATTTTTTTATTTCAAATTATTTTTTTGATTTTTGTAATGATTTGAAGTGACTTGAAGAACTGATATTAAAAATAAATTTATAAAAATAAAATTTATTATTTTAATGTATTTATGGAGACACTGTTTCCATTCGTAAATGCCATAAAAAAATGAGTTAAATAAATACGCGGGTGAGAAACGCGGGTTTCGTCCCTCAAGTTCTATGCACATGGTTTGTAGTTTAGCTGTGTTTTTTTTTTTTTAATTATTATATTTTAGTATTTTTAGATTAGTTTTGATATCTGTATCAAGTAAATTTTTAAAATAAAAAATAAATTATTTAAATATATTTTTAAATACACACATATTATACCCTCAAATCTCCCCGTCAGGCAAACTGGGCCGAACCAGGAGGTGGTATCTTTGACATCTAGGAAGGGTTTGCCTTTTCTTCACCTTGGGAGCCTCGGATTGGGCTCCAACTTGGAAAGCAGCAGTAAGTAGCTCTGGCTGTATTTTCCCGCTTAGGATTGCCACTAACATATCTAGCTCTACTGCGTGGAGGAGTCACAGTTGAAGTTCCATCCCTTGGAGATAAATGCTTGGCTTCCACGTCTGCCCTGAGTTTGCCATCACCTTTAGTACTAGGAAAACGTGTTGCACGAGTGCATGCAATTTCTTGACTCCAGGGGCTATCCTGAAAGAACTCAGCAAGTTTTGTCTCCTTCAAGACAGGTGTGCTGCTCTTGTGATCACTCCACGATGGATCTTGTAAGAGCTCAGCAAGTCTCTTGTTTTCATCTATTGGAGAAGCTTCTTGTTTGGACTCTCTCTGTTTTCTCTCCTGGATGGCAGGTGGCATGCTATTACGATCATAGATGAGATCAACAAGTTTCTTCCCTCCCTTTGTTGGATTTGGCTCCCGTTTGGAATCGCTTATTTCGTCAGGTTGGGGTGACCCCTTCATGCTGCTTTGCCGGCTCGAAGCATTGCTATAGTCTGAATATTAAAAACAACAAATCAAAGGATTTTCAGAACCCAGAAAATCGCTAAAAACCAGCAATTCTTTTGGGTGATTGATGTGTTTCCTCTGGCTGTAGCCTCTCTTGTGTAATAACAGAGAATCGCAAGGAACAGACAAGGCATAGGATCATAAAACCTCATCCTTATCGAGCTTCTGCAGTGTGCTGTTTAGGTTATTCAACTTGAAATTCTCGATGCATGCTTCAACTCATTTGCACAAGACAAGAAAGAAATGTGAAGAAATTAAGGCAGAGGAAATGTATCTTACCGTTTCTGACACTGAAGAAATCATCATCCGAGTCTGATCCTAGCCAGGCTTGACAATCATAGAAGTTCTCTTCGCTAACTGCATTTAAAATGCAACAATGATTTACGTTTTACGTATATAAGCAGCTTGCAAAGCTAGAATTGTGAAATGGAACATGAAATTGTCAAGAACGTAGGAAACACAAGGTAGTCAGCATCTATAGATTTCTGTTTCCAGTACCCGGAGGTCTATATTATACGGACTTTTTGCCGGAGACATGTTCACAAAATTATGATAAAATCTGAACATTTTACATCATAATTCTGATTAAATGTCTTCGGAAACTGTGCGAGAATAATTGATGCAAGGAGCAGAAGAAATTAACCAATCATACCTGTATCTTGGGATTTTGTCACCGGTGGTGCAGTTAAAGACTGATCAGAATCCAAACTGTTTTTTCCAATTGGATTATCTCCAATGACAGGACTTTCGGTGGAATAAGATGGATTAGAAACCTTGTCTGTTTCATTACTTGATGAGTTTGATGTTTTGCTGACTGAAACACCGATGTCTTGGGACTTCCTCTCAGGAAGCTCCATGAAAAACTGATCAGAATCCAAACTGTTTTCAACCAATCGATCATCTGCAGTGACTAGACCTTCCTCAGAAGAGGGCATGGATGGTTTGGTTGTTCCATTACTCATGGCTGGATTTGGTGTTTCATTGACCGAAACACTGATGTCTTGGGAATTTGTTGAAGGTGGTGGTGCTAACAAAGACTGATCAGACTCTAAACTGTTCTCGGTGATAGGATTATCTGTATCGACAGGACCTCCTGAAAAAGATGGCATACAAACCTTTTCCTTTTCATTACCTAAAGCTGCACACGGTGTTTCGTTGACTGGAACACTGGTGACTTGAGAATTTGTCACTAGCGGCTCCATAGACATCTGATCAGAATCCAAGCTGTTTTCAATCAATCGATCATCTGCAATGACCAAACTTGCCTCAAAAGAAGACGACATAGACGCTTTGGCCATTCCATCACCCATGGCTGAATTTGGCGTTTCATCAACTGAAAAAATGATGTATTGGGAATTTGTTGAAGGTGGTGCTAACATAGACTGATCAGACCCCGAACTGTTCTCATTGATAGGATTATCTGTACTGACAGGAGTTCCCGAAGAAGATGGCATACAAACATTGTCCTTTTCATCACTCGAAGCTGAACTCCGTGTTTCTTTGATTGAAACATTGGTGACCTGAGAATTTATCACTAGCGGCTCCATGGAAGACAGATCAGAATCCACGCTCTTTTCAATCAATTGATCATCTGTTATGATCGGACTTTCATCGGAAGAAGAAGGCATGGATGCTCTGGCCGCTCCATCACTCATGGCTGAATTCCATGCTTCCTCGACTGAAAAAACGATCCATTGGGAATCTGTTGAAGGTGGTGCTAGCATAGACTGATTAGACCCTGAATTGTTCTTGTCGATAGGATTATCTATACTGACAGGACTTCCTAAAGAAGATGGCATACAAACTTTGTCCTCTTCATTACTCGAAGCTGAACTCTGTGTTTCTTTGATTGAAACACTGGTGACCTGCGAATTTGTCACTAGCGGCTTCATGGAAGACAGATCAGAATCCAAGCTCTTTTCAATCAATTGATCATCTGTAATGACCGGACTTTCATAAGAAGAAGAAGGCATCGACGCTCTGGCCGTTCCATCACTCATGGCTGAATTCCATGCTTCCTCGAATGAAAAAACGATGCATTGGGAATCTATTGAAGTTGGTGCTAGCATAGACTGATCAGGACTTCCCAAAGAAGATGGCATACAAACTTTGTCCTATTCATTACTCGAAGCTGAACTCTGTGTTTCTTTGATTGAAACACTGGTGACCTGCGAATTTGTCACTAGCGGCTTCATGGAAGATAGATCAGAATCCAAGCTGTTTTCAATCAATCGATCATCTGCAATGACCAAACTTGCCTCAAAAGAAGATGACATAGACGCTTTGGCCATTCCATCACCCATGGCTGAATTTGGCGTTTCATCAACTGAAAAAATGTATTGGGAATTTGTTGAAGGTGGTGCTAACATAGACTGATCAGACCTCGAACTGTTCTCATTGATAGGATTATCTGTACTGATAGGAGTTCCCGAAGAAGATGGCATACAAACATTGCCCTTTTCATTACTCGAAGCTGAACTCCGTGTTTCTTTGATTGAAACATTGGTGACCTGAGAATTTATCACTAGCGGCTCCATGGAAGACAGATCAGAATCCACGCTCTTTTCAATCAATTGATCATTTGTAATGACCGGACTTTCATCAGAAGAAGAAGGCATGGATGCTCTGGCCGTTCCATCTCTCATGGCTGAATTCCAAGCTTCCTCGACTGAAAAATTGATGTATTGGGAATCTGTTGAAGGTGGTGCCAACAAAGACTGATCGGACTCCGAAATGTTTTTGTCGATGGGATTATCTGTAATGACAGGACTTCCCCTAGACAGAGATGGCATACAGACCTTGTCCTTTTCATCACTTGAAGTTGAATTCAGTGTTTCATTGACTAAATCGGTGTCTTGGGAATTGGTCACGAGCGGATCCATGGAAGACAGATCAGGATCCAAGCTGTTTATGGCTGGCTTATCTGATTTGGCAGGAGTTTCCTGAGAAAAAGATAGCATAGAAACCTTGTCTATTTCATTTGTCATAGCTGAATTCAATGTTTCATTGACTGAAACACCAGTGCACTGTGAATTTGTCACAGGCATAGCTGTGGTAGTCTGATCAGAATCCAAACTGCTTTTGGAAATTGTGTTACCTGCAATGACAGGAATTTCCTCAGAAGAAGATGGAAAAGAAATGTTGTTTGTTTCATTGCTCATAGTCATAGATGAATTTAGTGTTTCCTTGACTGAAACGCTGATGTCTTTCGAGTTTGCCACTGGTGGCACCACGAAAGACTGGTTGGAATCCAACCAGCTATTGGTACGATCATCTGCATTTGCAGGACTTTCCTTTGAAGATGGCATGGAAACCTTGTCTGTTTCGATTTTCGTTGATGAGTTTGGTGGTTTGCTGACTGAAACGCCGCCATCCATTTCTATAGATAAGGCCCTTTCTTCACTATGTTTCAATTATTATTTTTTTATTCTAAAATTGCACTAGAGGAGGAGAAAAGGAAGAAGAGGAAATGCAAGCTGGCTTTTAGGTTGATTTGGAAGAAAGAATACACCTCGAAAAAACAAGAATGAGAAGAACAGAACAGAACAGAACAAAAGGTCGTAGAAGTAGCAAGTGCATTGGTAATGCCGATTGCAAGACAACAGTTGGCATTCTGGCTTGCATTTCTCTTACTATGTTGTCCCAAATCAAGATGGAGACATCATGAATACATCGAAACTACAGAAAGTTTACATGTTATTTTCCTACTTGCACGCCCAAAGTTTACATCGAAACAGAGCAAAGGACTAAGCATTTTAGCTTCTTGGTTAAGCCTAGGTTGCAAATTTTAAAAATTAATTTAATTTTAGAGGATTCATTCAGGATTTATTTATTTTATTTTATATTTTTTATATTTAATGTTTTTTTAATTTTATTTATTTAATTAGAGATTAGACTCTATCTAGCAATTTATTTGATTTTTTTTAATGTCATCATGTATTTTTTTATAATGAGATTTGAATTGTCTTAGCACGGTTTTTTAGTGGTGGATATTATTCATGGTAAAAAAACAATGAATCTTCAATATTTTTTTTCTCATTTCTAGTATAATATTAGAAGTTTGTTTATTTTAGTTAATTGTTATCAAATATTTTTTGTATGGTTCTTCTATCATATTATTGTGATTTTATTGGATTTAATCAAGTTAATTACTTGACCATTGGTTTTTTTTTTTTTTGCTTCTTTATAAATATTATCGTTGTCTAAACATTTATTTTATATATTTAAAAATAACTGATAGGCCGCAATGGAGCACGGGTTAGAAGTCTGATCCAAGCTAAAAGCCTCTCTCAAATCATGCAACTTCTCTTCCCCTCCTCCCGTTTCCATTAGTCCAACAAGATCCTCCAATGCCAACAACCCATCTCCGTCCGAGTCCAATGACTCCTCAGCAAGTTTTGCCTCTCTCAAGATCAACTCTCCTCCTATCAAACCCAGACGACAACCTAGCTCAGATGGTGAAACCTTCCTGCCACCATTTTCGTCAAGGTGGAGAAAAACAACTTCAAACTCTCCAGCCTTAACCGTGTTAGAGTATAAGATGAACATGAGTACCAAAAGGAGAGATTAACTTGTGTTGCAAGAAAATGATAGATAAGCGATTACTTCTTGAATTATGATACAAAATGTAGGATTAAACAACATTCCTGTTCATAAATTTGAAGTCTGTGTTTGGCTTACAAGGTCTTCGGAATGACCATTTCCATCAGCAGAGGAAGGAGCTTTTGGAATACATAAGCAGTAAACATATGCAACTCTTACAAAAGAGAAAAGAAATGTATAAATAGACAGTAGACGTGAATTTAATATTTTGTGAGGCAACAGAACCAATCAATTTTCTTTTTATCTTAATTAATCATAAAAATAACCTTCCTTGCGAAATATCACATACGAAAGATAAGCGATTACTTCTTGAATTATGATACAAAATGTAGGATTAAACAACATTCCTGTTCATAAATTTGAAGTCTGTGTTTGGCTTACAAGGTCTTCGGAATGACAATTTCCATCAGCAGAGGAAGAAGCTTTTGGAATACATAAGCAGTAAACATATGCAACTCTTACAGAAGAGAAAAAAAATGTATAAATAGACAGTAGACGTGAATTTAATATTTTGTGAGGCAACAGAACCAATCAATTTTCTTTTTATCTTAATTAATCATAAAAATAACCTTCCTTGCGAAATATCACATACGCCTACACCTTTAAAGATTTAACAAAAATCTTCCATGTTAAAGATAATATGAAAAAAAATTAATTTCGTCTTTCTTCCCTCCTTGTTTACTAGCAATTAATATATAATAGTGAAGCAGGAGCTAGAATATGTTCTAATCAAAACAAGAAATGGATCAAACACATATAATGGATCTGGATTTTGATTTGACGTTAATCATTTGTGGTTGTTAATAATAAAATGTCTATCTCAGATCATCGTGTTGGAGAAACTAGAGGAAAACAAGTATGGCTTCAAAGGGCAACCCGCGATTTCAAGTATTGAAGAAGAGAAATGAAAATCTAATTTCTGATTTTCTGACAAAGATTTTCCCTACCCAGGACTTCATTTTATTCTCTCTCCTCTTACAACTTGAAACCCTCTGTAAAATTCCTACTTCGCATTTCAATCGTCTTCTTATAACCTCCTCAAGCTAATACTTTTCATGTCAAGTCCTGAAAGCTCGGACGAGGGATTATATAGATTCATGGTTAACTAGCTTAGAAGAAGTAGCCAGCGACAGCGGCAGCTCCAACAATGGCAGAGAACTTGAGGGTAGCGGCACCATCTTTTTCAGAAGCAGGACCCCCAGCCAATGTAGTGCTATCCATTGGTCCTGGAACAACAGTGCCACCATCAACAGAAGGTGCACCAGCCGCATTAACGTCATTATTACCGATAAAATCATGGCTTAAGGGCGCCTCGGCTGGAGGCAGGTAAGTTGTGGAAGGAGCAGGTGCTGTGGCTGCAGCCAACCCAAAAATGGCAACAAAGACAAGAGCAAGAACAATGAGTTTGCGTGCCATTTTCGCTTATACAGAGAATCTTTGCAGATGTTCCCTCTAGGACAGATGGATAGAGAAACACTGCAGGACAAAACAAAGATGAAGAGGTAGATAGATTTGGAAGGATGCTTGTTATATAGACCTGAAATGTGATGGGGTTTTGAGGAGAGGGAGGAAACCACGGAGGTTGTAAGCTATTTCAGGGACTACTAATTTCCATGGAAAGGTTACTTGCAACTTGGCATACTAATTGATGGTTTATAATCATGCTTCTTATTTGTCCCTTGCCTAAAAAATTAATACTGTTCATTCAAAACATTTTCTATATCTAAATTTGCGTAGTAAAAAATTAACCATTCATCCTCGTTGAGGGATTTGGAAAAAAAAATTCCCGAAATTTTTGGCATGGAAAGAGACATCACTCAGTTTTCAACCTATTAGGCTAGCCATTAATTTGCGCATCAATATATTATTGCTCAACTTTCGGAAGGGAGAAATTCAAGAAGAAAGAAAAGAAGTAGACGAAGCTAAATCCTTTCGATTGAATGCAAAGCAACTGACAAAAGGACAGCAAATTAACTGTTGAGTTACAGCAACGCTTACAAATGCTAAACTTCCTCCAAGCCAAATATATCACAATCCCTATCTCTAGTATATATGCTGACCAATTTTGGAGAAGCTTGTGGCTACAAAACGATTTCATTTCTTGTTTGTCGTCGCAGGTCTCTGAGATCAAATAGTTCGCACATCGATCAAGTGTCTTCAAGAAAGTCTGATTTCCTGTTTGTAATTTAACTGCAAGTCCCTGACAGTGATTATTCTCTGCAGCTTCAATTAAACATGAGGCTTGGGACAGGTCTTCCAAAAAACTCAAAGCACTGTTCCCCCCTCCTTCCTATCATTTTGTTGCCATTGTCTCGGAATCAGATAAAATATTATCCATGTCTTCAAAATAGGGCCAAGCTTTTTTCCCTTTCTTCCCGTTCTTGCTTTCCTGTTCATTTTAGCAATGGTTGTTACTAAGCAACACTGTATAGATGGATGAAATGGCAACAGATGACCACACTAAAGACTCGGATGGCACCCCTACAGTGATCTGGATTTCGATATTTATTTTCCATTGGAGTAAGAATTGTACAAAAGAATGTCCAGGAAAACATTTGACTTGTGGCAAAAACTGTAGCAGCACACACTAGTATTCACATGCAATTATACGAGCTTCACTTCATAATATGAAACAGAAATCAAAATGCAATACCAACATTTAATTGTGAGAAGTGGAGGAACAAACCTCATATTTCTGAACCAGAGATGTCCATAAAGATTTGCACTGCCCTGGACTACGATTGATCCCATCAGCCATTAAGTTAGTAGATATCTCTTCCCACAGAGCCATTCTACCTCTTACAACTTGAAATCTACTATTTAATTCCCCACGCATTTTTATAAGACTCTTAACCTCCTCAGGTTTCCATTTGTTCCGTGATTTGGAACGCTTCAGTCTAGAATTTTCATTTTCCAACAATTCATCATCACTACTGTCCACAGCATCTTCCTTGAGCTTATTCATCTGTTCCCCTGGTGGAACCAAACTTTCATCACTTTCTACTAATTCATTGACTGGGGAGGATGAAGGAACGGATGATTTCTGGAAATCATCTTGATCCTCAGAGGTGGAGGAATGTCCTTCAGCTAAGTTAGAACTTGAAGAAGTACCCTCTTCCTCAGGTAGCTCTCTTTCAAATTCAATATCATCAACTGCATGATAAAAAGGTGGGAAAAACAGAATATTGAGTATACTGGTTAAAAAATCCCAAGCTTTAGAAAAGTACTACTGCTTTCAAGAATGTCCACATTAAGCATAGGTCAAAAATGCAATTTATATGCATGCTGAGTTGCTAGCACAAGGCCTTTCCAATGGGAGCTCTCCTTCATTATTGTTAATTTTTTAATATATCAGTCATTTACTGATGATTGGCATAAGACAGCAAAAATCAGCTAACCTAAAGATGTGAAGTTTAGTGGTGGCATAGGTATTTTCACACGTCTCATCCACAGGCAGTCAGAAAATGGCTACCACCCACCAACTTGACCACATAGAAGCACATGCACACAAAAACACACTCAATTAAAACACAGAGATGCGGAGATATGTGGACCTTCCAGATTTTGAGGTGATGTTTTCTCTAAATGTGCATAACCATTTCCATCAGGTCGCTTCCTGTCCACCTGATTTCCTTTTGGATGCCCATCGACAATTTTTCTCAATGCCGATATCCCAAAGCCAACATGAGAATTGCCAGATAACCTTGCATTGAGTTCATCAGAAAGAACTGCTGCTGGGTTTTCCACAGCAATGGCAATGACTTCAGGTCTTTTACCACTATACTTCCTTACCATCTTCCTCAACATCTCAGACACTGTTCTTTCCATGTGAGTTAAAGGACAGTTCACCGGACAGCTTGAAAGTGCAGCATGAGCAGCTTTGTGGAGTGCATCTAAAAGCTTCCCTTTGTCAAGCCACAGACAGCGTGTTGTGATTTTTATTTTTCCTTTTAAACTTTTTTCAACTTGACCATCTAGATTTTGAGGGCGTAAAATTTCCATGCTGTACCACAGAAATGTTAAGAAATCATTACAGTAACAAGTGTCACAAAGAAAATTCATGTTATTTCAGAATCTGCTAGAGCTACCTGACCACTACAATACCATCTGTTGCAATTTTTAGTCTCTCATCAATGCAAAGCTCAGTTGATGTGCCAAAAGCTTTATCCCCATCGTTATACATCAACTGCAATATCAGACCAGATTTTACAAAAATGAACCTCAATTAAATTCCCATAATAAAACAATCAGTATTACCAACCTGCAAATTTTCCTTCCCAAGGGAGACAAAACCATTGGATAGAACTCTTCTGTTCCTCAAGTGAGAAACCCCAAGCATCTCTCCGTTCTTTATAACCTGACAGATTTGTAGACCACTTGTAACTTTTACCATGCCATAACATTATATGCAACTCAAAGAATTTGAAAGAAAAACAACATAACAAGAATGCATCTAATGTCATGTATACAATAAATCCATCATATGCACTAACCAATGCAATTCGACATATGAGTCTTTTTTCAAGATAAACCATGCAACACTGCACCTGAAAAAGCACTTTTTTTTTTTCAGTGGGCTTGGGTGTTACGGACAGTACATCCCAAGAATTGACCATTCTCATTTACATGGAAATCAGCTGAATTCATATAATTAATAGAGTAAAAGAGAAAGAAGAAATGAAATGAGAATCGGTTGTCCATATACATAGAGAGGCCGGAGAGCCTTATTGTTCTATTTTGAAAGATTCTATGCTCTCACTAAATGCATCAAATTTTGGCAAATATAACAAACTTCAAGATCACCTTATGCATACTAATTACCATAAGAGTGTAAAGACTAACTCACAGTAGTGTGATGAATGCCAGTTGATTTCCCAAGCAATTCATGTTCTTTCAAAAACAGAAGTTCTCCGTGTATGGGAAGAAAATGTTGCGGCTTCACAATTTTAAGCACTTCCTCCTGACGAAATGGAATCAATGTTCGATGATTTTTCGTAAAAGTTGACAAAAATAACAACAATTATAGTATTGATAATTGTCAAAGAACCATCTCAACCCAAAACCTTAAGGTATTAGATGAGTTTCCAAGATATAATTTATATTATTCTCTAACACCCCCTTCAAGTGAAAGCCTTTTAGGCTTGAAACTTGTACAGATCCACATTACCTTATGCTTAATTTTTATCAAATACATAAGAATGGTGAGATTTGAACTTGTGATCATTTGGTCATCAAGACTCTGATACTATGTCAAAGAACCATTTCAACCAAAAAACTTAAACTATTAGGTGAGGTTTCATGATATGATTTATATTATTCTCTAACAATAATAACAAACAATTAATATTCAAGGCATCTAGTTCTACATGCTTCTCCATATAACAATGACACAATAAAAAGGTAACAGAATAACAAGGAATAACCTTCATACAATGAGTCAGTATGTGAAGATGCTTCTCTTTCCACTATTGACACAAAAAGCATAACATGGAGGAGTACAAGATATATAAACATTATAACTAAGTAATATAACTTCGTAAGATCCAGAGGAGTGGCTTATGAGATCTCACCAATTCTCCACGATACCCATGGCCAGATGTGTGAAGCAGCTCATTTTTACCCATTACAATAGTTGACCCAATCTCTGATATGCGGTTCATCATTTTCATTACCCTAGATTCGTTACCAGGGATTACCTGAAAAATGAAATATAAACTGAGAACATATCTACTAATTGGTAGTTCTTTCAGCAAGAAAATACAAAATTGATTAGCATTATGACCACATGTCGAAGCATCAGACATTAATAAACCTGTGGCAGTAATATTATAAGATAGAGGACTATCATAAATAGTTGAGCATAAAATCAAAAGTCTGCCTAATGTAATAGTTCAAATTCACTATACACATGTGACCAATCAAATGCAATCATCATTTCTGGGGAAAAAAAAAAGAAGAAGAGGCGAGAAATGAGAACAAAATGGAGCACCATTGCTGGCCATCTTCTATCATATAACAATTCTCTTACAAAATCTCCATCAGGTTATGAAGCATTTTTGGCACTCCCTAACATATAAATAACATGCACAATAATAGATATCAAGAAAACCTTAAATTAAATACAAAGAGATCCTGGGCTTGCTGGTGCAGGAGGATTGCTATGAGATTGGATGGGAAGATAGTTAGCCCCATTCACATACAAGGTGGGTTTTTGCAATTTTTTAACAGCAGAACTTCAGGGAGTTAAGGTTGGCCTTAACATAGCTTGGATGGGATTGAGTGTTATCCTGGAAGTTGATTCAACAGTGGTTCAACATGTAATTCTTCAAGATCAGTCCAGAGATGATCCTAGCTCCATGCTCTTGGCACAAATAGAAGAAATTTTGAATAGAAATTGGAATGTGATAATAAAAATACATATATAGAGGGTAATAAATGGGCTGATTGGTTAGCAAATGTAGGAGCTAGTGGGGAACTAGGGCTCCGCTTTTTCAGTGTTTCTCCTCCAGGGCTAGTAGATTTGCTTCAGGCGGACTATTGTGGTTGTGTCCTAGTTAGTCGTTTAGTCTTGTTCTTGGGCTCTTAAGCCTCTTTTTGTACCCAAAAGAAAGAAAGAAAGGAAACTGAGTTCTATAAGGACTCACTAACAACACATCTGAGTTCTACAAGATTGACTCATTAACAAAACATTTTGGTACCTTGTAGAAAAACATAAATTGCATCCAACTACATGATCTTAGCATACTGAGATTACTGAAGGGGAGTTTGAAATAAGGAAAAAAAAAAGAAGATTAAAAAGAATGAATGCTTAAATCATTAACCAAAAGTCAGAAATTGACTTGTGAGTTCATTTTAAGAAGAATCCAAGCATATTATATCATAATACCTTAGCTGAATAAAGAATAACATCTTCCTTGTTCAGTTTGAAGGCATGACTACTTCCATATGATGCAAGATTGAGAGCTGCACGCGGCTCTGCCTGACACAACAGCATGCAGAGTCACATACCAGCTAATTGATACAACAGAAATGGAATCAGGCAGCCGAATCAACTTACTTGTGATCCAGTTGTGACAATTAGCAGATCCTTAGGGGCATAAGAATCAATATCTTCCACTTTAACCTATACAATTTTGGAATTGTTAAGAGGAATCTGTCATGAGGTCTTCAAGAGCAAGATGGAAGATATCACTGGAAATCTAATACTCTCAGAAAAACATCAAATGAATAACTTATGCAAAAACATTACTAGAGTGGACGGATCAATTGGTGCCTTTCCATCCTTCCATGCTGCATCCAAATATGTCTTCAATGACATGCCAACAAAGACCTGATACAATGATTAAAAAATCAAAACTGTGAGTCAAATTCCTTTGGAAGACCAAGATGATCGTTCTAAGAGCAAATGAGAAACTAGAAAATCATACCAACTTTCTACCAGTCAAATCAGCGGCAGCTTTCACACTGCCTAGGCGGTGTATATTTGATGCAAATTGAGTAGTGATAATCCTTCCTTTAGCAGCTGAAATACGTCTCAATAATGCATCAGCTACCACACTTTCACTAAGTGTCCTTCCAGGTGACAGTACATTTGTTGAGTCACTCATCATCTGAACAGAGGTTTGCATTGTTAAAACCTCAAGTTGCTCTGCCCTTTAAGAGCAGCTTTAGCAAAGAAATTAATTCACAACACATTAATGAAGGAATCAAAGGTAAAATCATCATCATAGACATGCAAATCAAAATTTATAAAAGAAGAGAGAAAATAACACAATAAATTCAAGTGGATACCAAATGAATAAATATCAGATACAAATGGTCAACCTCGTTACACAAATAATTTGTACAAAACAAATCATACAGTGTATGAGCTTAAATATAATGGCTAAAGCAACTGGTCCACTAACATGTCACAGTGATTTTGCTCCTTCAATTTTTTTTTCCAGCATAAAATGTGTGCTCACCATCAAGATGTTGCAAGTGATAACTTTTTCCACATTAACCTATTTTCCTCAATTCTACCTAACAAACTCCTTTATCCACATCTCAAGGAGCACATATTAGGATGTAAAATGTCGAACATGCAATTGTAATGCATATCATCTCCATTAAGTCTTAAACATTGACCTTTTCTGAAGAAGCCACTCTTCAAGAGAAGCATATTTCTAAAGCATTCCAAAACAAAGGCCAAAACTGTCATAGCATTATATCATGAAAGACATGACACAATTTACAACACAGCTTCTCTTCATTCCCACAGTCACATACACTCAGAAGGCCTATTTTCATATGTAGGTCCCACAAAAACCACTATCTCCTCCACAAACTGAAACCGTTTAAGTTCCCATGTAAAAACTATGTCAATATGGCAACAAATTACATCATCTTGGAGACTTACCAATGTAACTCCTTCTTTGGAGAGTTCCTCTAAAGTTTCACGATCAAAAACTTTTCCATCCAATGGTGATTCATCAATCTGTACAATATAAACCTCTTCTGAAGCTTACAAAATCATAGAGGGAAAAATAAAAATATATAGACAAGCTTACCTTCCAGTCCCCAGTGTGAAGGATTGTACCATCAGCACAGCGAAGGACCAATCCACAACAATCAGGAATAGAATGGGTCACCCTGATAGGCTCTATTTCAAAAGGCCCAGCTGTGAATTTCCTCTTTGTTTTGAACACCTTAAGTCTAGATGGAACAAAGATCCCATTCTCCTTCAACCGTTTCTTGATGAGCTGTCATAAAATCAGTTTAGAAGCACTCAGAGAATCAAAACTAGAAAACGTGACTTGTCATCACATAAAACACAAACAGATGGTCTAGAGAGCTGCCATGCAAGTGTGCAAAATCTTACAAGGTCACTTGAAATTGAAAAAATTTGACTGTGGTTAATATCCATCTACTGAAAAATAAAGGGCAGCATTTATATATTATGAGCTATTTTATCCCATAAGCAATAGTAGGATACGTCAGTTCTGGAAACATGCATTCTAGTACATGTTTGTGCACATATTTATTTATGAAAGTATGCTTAAGTAAACCAAATTTAGTTTTATTTTCAGCACATATAGATGGATAAGTAAGACCCAGAATAAAGTACCTCCATCGTGAAGGATGATGCATAAATCGGAGTGTTATGATCCAAAGCTGGAACAACCTGCTTAGATAGTAAGAGAATCATTAAGAGTGAAAAAGACACAAAGCAAAATGCTTAAATCAAAACATGATTAATTATTTACAGCAATCAAGCATTGAACCAAATGATACAGCTTGGATAGCTGCACCTTTGAAATAAATATTAAATCAACAAACACCCCTTACTGTCAAAGCCTTAAACTAAGTTTAGATTCATGTTTCCTACACACATCCCTTATGCTTTTAATAGATCATCCAATTCAGGTTTCCAAAGTAGCAAAGGCTCAGTTTTTTAACCAAGCTCATTTAGCTAAAGTTCTTAGCCAAAAACAACACACTTTTGTTTTTAATCTTGCTAACGAGAAACTTTAAGCACACATGCCAAATACTATTCTAAAAGAAACAAACTGTTGCTTCTTTCCTTCGAAGTATGTAGTCGTAGACACCATCTATCTACACTATCTAGATCATATTGTAACTTCTTTCCATGTCCCTTAAATGATTTTAATGTTTATTTTTTCTTGATTCATGTTAGTATCAGATTGGTTCATTTTTTTTAACCTCCTTTAATTAAAATCCAATCAAATTGTGGATTGAAACAATTCATTGCCACCACCTCCACCATCACAATTCATGGAATCATCATCAACAACCCATGATTGATCAAGGGAGTGCAGACAATAATTGATCAGTGAACATCAAATATCCATGATCCAGGTGCTAGCTCTAGTCTTTGGGTTGCTGATGTGCCATAGCCATGTAGATACTCCTTGCATGGCAACCTTTAAATATAGATGAGATCTTTTAATAGTTCAGTAACTAAGACGTAACATCAACCATTCCTACTGAAGTGAAGTTCCTTGCATTAAAACATTTGAAAGAACATTTTGAGAACATCTTCTACTGCAGAATTATTAGAAGAGCCAGATCACCATTAGATTGATGATTGCTACTAATTATTGAGTAATTGGAAAGCATGAGTTTATGCCCAATAAAAAGAGGCTTCACCTTAGACATTAACATGATGTAAGAACCAAGAGCCATGAAGCTGAAAAACTTCTAAATAATCAAGCATAGACACTTTTGAAAAGGGAGATGCAGAAGGCAGTGGAAAAGATATCTTATTGTCTTTTCTTAACTTAAAGGAAAAAAAGTGAAAATGTGGGATATTATGTAAACAAATCCCATGGCACATCTGATACCGACATATCAACATGTCATGCTCAAATATACAATGCAGAGGTCATAGGGAATGTACTCAACTGATAAACACGTTGATCTAATTGCACAGTAATGTCATCATAAACTATAGATTTACTTCAACTAGCATTGGAACAGAACAAAGACAACCTTAGTCAGGCTACAGCCAGGGTTCATTGTGTAAATATTGCATCAAATGCTAAGTATCAAAGATCCTCAGCATCTGAAGGCTTAACCAAGATCATCGGAAAGGATAAAGCATAATGGACAGCCCCCTTCCCTTGGAAAAAAATGATGGAAATTCATGTTATTCCCCATTTCAAAATAAGAATAATTGTCAAGAGGTACCATTCATGTATCAACAACCCTCCCATCTCACGTCGTTTTCCATCTAACTATCTTGGCAATCACACAAACAAGCTTTGCATTCTTTAGCCCATCACCACATCAACTAAGCTGTAATTAGTGTCTCGGCCCACCTTAATTTATCTACAGAAAAATGTAACTATCTATGCAACTAAAATCCTATCAAGAACTACAACACAAATGTCAACAACAGAAAATTTGATACTGTTAAAAAGGCCACATAAACAGTAATTTAATCAGGAAGTGCAAGGTCAAGATGATGCTTTCAAGAAGTCGAAGGAAACTTTACCCAAGGCAACGCACCAATGTGATCTTCATGACCATGTGTTATAATAACTGCTTCAATTTTGTGTTTCCATCTTCTGATAAATGTGGTATCAGGTATAATCTTTTGAAATCCAAGCTCATCATAACTGGAGCATGTTGTCACACACACAAAACAAAGTCAAGACATCAGAAAGCAGAATTTTCAGCCACGTGCTTAACCTAATGCACTCAAAAGGAAAAAAGAACGCAACTTTCACTTCCTCTCACAGTAACATTTCCTCACTAACAATCTGATTTATTCTAACTCCTATGTAACTAAGATTTTTTCATATTCAATCCCCAAATCAATTAAACATTTAAGAAATTAGCATATTCTTTGAACAAAAAAAGCACAAATGAAAGCCCTTATCCTCCCAAATTCGGCTGAATACTTACTCAGGAAACATAACACCGGCATCAATTAAAATATATCGATCATAATTCCCAACAAGCATACAATTCATCCCAATCTCACCCAAACCACCAATTGGAACTATACGCAGCGGCGGACCATCAGGCCCTTCATAAAACTGCTCCATCTTTCTTTTAACCGAATCTTCCATACTTTTCCCTGTCCCTTCCATTCTTCCCGTCCTTTTACGCGGCGGAGCTTTCGTTCTTCTACTGCCTAAATGAATTTTAACAAAAAAAAAATAATATAAAGAATTAAACGAAGTGAGTATTTACACATTTAATTTCAAAAAATAAAATAAGAAAGGAAATGGAATTAAAGAAAGATGACCTATAGTAGTTGTAGTAGGGGAGCCAGCAGAGCAGGAAACGCAAAGCTTGGTGGAGCTAGGGCGGCAGAAGAAAGTGTACGGACAGGAGGAGAGAGCACTGAAAGCGGCAGCCATGTTTGGTGATGTTGTTTTGAGAGGTTTATGAGAAGACGTGCAGTAGAGAGAAAAACCTCCCAAAAGCCCTAACAGCATTTACTTCAGGAAATTATAGAATTGAAACCAAGATTTTGTAGAGAGAGCGGTTGAGTTGAGGCTCTTCAGGGAGCGGGAAATAGAGCTCCTGATGAGAGGGAGGGAGCCGAGCAGCAGATAGTTTTTTGTTGTAAGGTTGAGAGATAATAAATATCCTCTTTTCCTTATCATTTTAATTTATTTTTTTGAAATTGGATTGCTAGAAAAACACTCGCACGTGCCTCCCTCAACATCCACACGCTTCTATAAATTTAGTGAATCTTGCTGATTTAGTCCCTCCTTTTGTAGTACAGTTATAACTTGGTTTCTCATGCTTGAAAACCTATATGTTGGTCCCTTCAACATCTGTTGCTGTTGTTGCTGACTTATTTTGTCTTTTTGAATAATCAACTCTTACTATGTATGTTGGTTTTTCTCTAAGAATTTAACTTGTTAAATGGTGTATTTTGGATTAAGGAAAAAAATTAATGGATGTGTTAATGACATAACGATGAACAAGAGTCAAGAGACTAATTTGTATATTTTTTTATTTTGAAGGACTAAGCTGATCATGTTGAACAAATAGAAGTACTAAAAAATAATTCACTCCTTGTCTTACAACCAATGTAGAACTCAATCATGTTGTCAGCTTGAACGTGAGAGACCTTTTGATATGAAAAGGATAAATATTTCCTAAATGGTATGTGTCTTTTTTCATAAGCTGGCCTTAATCTTCCTAAAAACATCTGAAAACGATTAAGAAAAAAAGACATATATATACCACTTGAGGAACTTTACTTTATTCACATCAAAAGATCTTACGTTCAAGAGGAATAGTCTTCATGTTCAAGCTTGGTGATCGATCACCATTCATCAAGAAGACAAGGTTGTGGATTATCAGTCAGCAGAACCCTCCTGGTTTGGACCTTTGCTCCTAGCTGATGCTAGTACAGTTATGCTTGTTCAGCCTGGTTTTGTTTTCCATGTCGAGAGAGAGAAGACCATTTCGAGTCTTTGACAACAGGATTTCACAAAGGACAAAGCTTTCTTCACGTAGCAATTGTTCTCAAGTAGCTGAGACCTCTACGAGAACTAATGATTATCAGAAATTGATTTTATGTCAATTCTTCTGCTCTCGCCACATATCTACAAGCTCAGCGGCACTGCAAAATGTTTCCGAGGACTGCCCTCTGTCTCTGGCACATCAAAATATTTTATGTCAATTCTTCTGGTATCAGCTTCTGAGGACTGCACTGTCTGTCTCTGGGATGTCATTAATCAGCTGATCATGCGAAGATTTAACAATAAAAAAGGTGAGCATAACCCTTGTTGTTTTCTCAGATTCGATAACTCATTGTCCTTTTTGTTACTGTCCTGTTCTGTTACCAATTTAAGGAGGATCTAAAAAGAAGGAAAAGCTTTTTATCTTGCACGGATTTCTCATCAAGTGATTTGGAATAGAGGCTTCTGTTTTTTTCTTGACATTTGACTGCAAGACATATTTTTTCCATTTTGTTTAGCGGTTACTTGAGCTGGAATTACAGAAAGTGTTGCGATTTTGAAATTTTGCGATCCTGTGCTTTCTCATATCAATCGTTTTAATCTGTAAGCAGGGGCAGTAACCAATCTTATAGTGAATCCACGGTCGATGCTGCATTTTGCATCAAACCATTGAAGAGTTTCAAATCACTTCCGTGTTTCTTTGCTTGGTAATTGTCCTGGGCCAGCCAACTCATCCAATGGAACTCTCACTCTCCTTCAAGCATGTTCTCCCCCCGTGGATAATCAGACTTCTGTAGATTTCAGAAGAACCAATTCATTGGATCGGAAGATATTTGAAATGGAGGTCTGTTTTCTCTCCTATCTAGTATGTTCATGCTGCATGTTGCTTGCATATATAATGAAAGAAGATGCATTGGCATACAGTATACAGAGATCATACACGATATTAATTGCAAGAGATTGCCGTGATAGACAAAAATATCTGCTATCTTATACGATATTATAAAGAGTGGTGATATAATTTATTTATTTATTTTGTTATTTCTTACATGTTCGTCGATGTGTACAAGTAGCATGAGATGCGTTCTTATTTCCCTGCTATGGAATGTAACTAGCAAGAACAGACACCTGCAGCCTTGCAAATGAGGGTAGAAACAAGCACGGACCATCGGAGATGGGCGAGAAGAATGAAAAATCATGTCGTGGGAATGAACAGGCATTAGCAATCTCATTTGCTCGACTTGATGCAGATTCTACTGAAAATTTTACCTACTACCGGAAAGAGCATGAAGCTCAAGATCGAAAGTCCACCACCACAAGAGAAGATATCACAATCCCCTGGTTAATCTTCAATGATTTCCAAGCATAAATTACTAGGAAACGATCCTCATTGATGCAACAATTTTCAGTCTAAAACCCACCGCCATTTCTCTCCCACTGAAAATCTAAAGCCTCCATAGCGCCGCCTCTTTACCATCTGTGTAACATCACTCTGAGCAGATTTTTCACCACTGCAGGCAAAGCTGGACCCCAAGGACTGCTCCTATAACGAGCTGCCCCGACACGCAATCGGCTTGGCACCATGGCTGACACAGCGATTTCAATGGTGAAACTGTTCTGTATGGAATTCCTCGCTTGCAGTTCCAAGTTGCAAGTCTTCATTTTCATAAACTGGATTCTTTTGATTGATTCATGAAAATTAGGATATTATGGGACTTGAAAAGGAGAACAATCAATTTTTAGAGGGACCAAATTTTTTTGGGGGAGAGATTGGGCGGAGCCCCTCGTGCCTGCGTGGCATGCTGGCCCTGTCCTTGTATTGCTAGATAAGTCACTTGACATCGTTTGTCATTTGGATGCTAAAAACACCTTTTTCTCTTGGAGGTTTTTTTTTTAAAAAAGCATAGAGGAAAGATTGTTTATGTTGTTGACTTTAGTATTCTGGTGTTTTGCACTTGCTGGGATTCTGTTCTTAGTTGGATCGCTGCTATTAAGTACAAATTTGCTAGACTCAACAGTCCACACTACTTGGCACTGATTTATCTCATCTATTATCATTTTCTTTTAAATTTGCACAGGAGATTCTTGATCAACTTGTGGAGATTGATTTGGCTGTGGGTTTTAGATGCATTGATGATTACTCGGTGAAACACCAACAAGTTAGTGTCTTTTCTCAAATCTTGTGAAGTGACCAACTCCTCGCATGGTCTAAATATTACCTCATAGAACACTCTTCCACTGCCATTGCAGCAGGTGCCTAGAAACAGAAGCTCCAAGCTTATGCTGAACAGGTGATATTTGTGCTTCTATCTTCTTCCTTGTCATTTTGTTGATTTATTCCTATGACATGGTATTCCTTTGGTGTGGATTATTTTTGTTGATGTCATTCTGCTAAAAAAGATGTGATGCGATTCTTGAACCATTGCACTGATCTCATTCTGCTAAAAAAAAATTGTACTATACAGTTATTGCTGATAGGATCAGCACAGTTGCTGCATAGTTTCTACAAAGCAGGCGGTGGGAATTTCTTATCAATAATTTTCGTTTTTTTTTTCCTCAGAGCAAGTCACTAGAAGATTAATGCCTGAAACGGAAAAGGCTTCTCGACTTTCAAGTAGGCAGTGCACCTGCAGAGAATTGGCAAGGGCTGTTAGCTGCACTAGATTACAACACATAAATACTGTATATTCTTCAAAGAAACTAGCTTGCTCTAAAACTCTTATCACCCATTTTTAGTTTCGATATCAACTTCACTGTAAACACAGGTGCTGTGAATAGCGTAACTAGGAGGATTTTCCATCGCGAATGATATGGAAAGTGCAAGTTTGCTTGTACTCTTTTGCTTTCTAATTGAGCGCACTGAAGCAGTTTGATGATTCAAATCTGTAAATATGTAGTCTTTATCAATATTCTTGTTGAATCACCGATATGTGCAGTACATTATGGGTTTGGTTTTCAATTTTCTATGGAGCTCCGAACTCCACACTGTATGACAGAAAAGGCCTTTCCCACCTCGACAATAGAATTAAAGCCCAGGGGAAATTTTTCCACGTTAAACTCACCATCGGTAAATTTAGCAGGGTCAAAACTCAGTTGCAGTAAAGCCATTATATTAAATTTTAAGCATCATGGGATTTCCTTGCCTGTAATATAACCTGTTGGATCTCTAATAAAACCAAATTACATAGGAAACTTCTGCTGTGTTCACAGCATTGTAGTCATATTGTATTAATTCATTGAGACTCTTAGCACCGTATCCGCATATACAGTGCTGTAACCATCTAGCTCTGGTAGCTACTATTTTCGTTGCCGTTTTCTATTTGTAAAAAATGGATGTGTTTTGCAAATCATTTTTCCTATCGATGATATCGTTTTCGGCATTCGGACTCCAATCTGGTTTTGTTTGCCAAATGGCACATCAAAGCAGTATACTCTGAGTGAAATAGGGTAGTATTAGTTACTCCTCGAGTAATATAAAACTTCCCAAAACATTGATATATGTTGCAGCTTTTACCAACAATGGTAAGATACCAAAAATGAGTCATAGTCGCCATCTCAAAGGTAAATTTCTTCCTTACTAATTGATCCTCGGTTAGTCTCTACAATGTACATAAACTAATATGCTACAATTCTTGAAAGTGGGAAGAAGTGATGATAACATTTCGACTATAGATGATCTAATTGAGATAAGCTGCTTCAAACTTATGCTATAACAGTTACCACCTCAGTGAAAAACAAACTTTTCAAGGATGCTATAGACAGGGAGGCAATTTCTTGGAGCAACTGATATACAACTCATAGAAACTGTTCACCGTCTGCTGTTGCCTGGACCTGAACTGCATACTGCAAGTTCCAAAGAATGTCCTCAAATGATGGTCGACTCCATGATTCAGAACAAATGCATTTGTCAGTTATCGTAATCACAGCTGATAAAGATTCTTGTGAGCTTGTGGCCAGAACAATAGGGTTTAATGATTTTTGACGTCCCTCGTGGCTGTTACAAGATGCCTGAAATATGAAATATTGATGTCAATGTCTCATACGTTGTCATCAACTTCAAACCATCAAGCATGTATTAAAAGCGTGGGAAATAGCCCAGCGGACATAAGCACAGCTATAACTAGTCCTCAATCAATACACATTGCATACATGATCTGCTTTAATTCAGATTTTCTGCACCTACCAATTCATCCAGTGCAAGCTTGTCTCTTCTGGAAGATACTGAAGGTCCAACAAGTGATTCAAGTAATATGAATCCAAAGCTACAAACATCGTCCTCTAATCTTGCCATTTGCCTGAAAAAAATGGATTACATGCAGGTAATTATCTATGCATGGGTATGCGTAACTACATCAAGGTGAATGGACTTTCATAAAATTGCTCATTGTGGGGTTTTTCTCACATCAGCTGCCTTGAATGAATTTGTAATTTGTTATGGTCAAGTTAGTTCAAACCACTTCACGACTTCTAAAACGTGACAAATTGAAGCAGGATCGTAGTGGGTCATATCACGGTGATATTGTGATAAAAGGAAATTCTTACCATGATTTAGGGCCTTCCCCATTTTCCTGCAGACATAAGAACCCCAAGTCACACACTTATAAACCACTCAATCAAGAATTTATTGCAAGACTAGCCATTTGATATATAATTAAGGAGCTTACCCCACAATTTCCAGCTAATTCAGAGATGATGGAAAGCCCATAGTCACTCAACTTTGCTATCCCATGTTCATTGAGCAGTATATTATTTGCTTTCAATCGATTGTTAAAGAAACCAGGAATAACTCCAGTATGCAAAAAGTGAATAGCCTTTGCGACACTAATTAGCACTGCCAATCTCTCTGACCAGTTTAGAACCTTTCCAGGTCTGTCCTCTACACATATAACAGGGCCAACTTAGAATGTACAAGTTTATACTAATCACAACATATAAAATGCAAAAAGCCTGGCTCTTGCGACTGTCCATGATTTTTGAGTTATATATAAGAGTAACTTTGGAGGATGGTTTGCTATGAAGGTCAAAATGGGGTACCAAGAAAGTCAAGCTTCCTCTATGTCTGCATGATGTGCATGGATATCATGCTTTTGAATCGCTGGCAATTAGTTTCAATCACTTCTAAGAAGATTGCTTAAAAAAATTTTATCCCGAAATTACCAGAGAGGTAAGCTCTGAAGTTGCCATTAGAAACATATTCGTATACGAGGAAGACTTTGTTCACTCTGTAATCATCTTGTCCCCCGCCATCAATGCAGTGCCCCAAAAGGCAAACCAGGTGCGGGTGGCGAAGCTTTGCAAGCAAATCCATCCTGAGTTTAAGATTTCGCATTGAATATTTCTTTGATGAAGGTACGCACCTTATAGCAACCTGGGTTCCATTCTCTAATATTCCTTTGTAAAGCTGATAAAACAAAGAGGAGGAATGATAATAAATAAATGATCTGGAACAATTAAAAGTTTCCTTGATTGATTTTGTTACCAAAATATACCCGCATTGTCATGGTATATAAATTTATATACTGTATATATATATCTACAATGGAATTTTAGCCTTCAGTTTCACAGCTCAAGTGCCACAAGTAGCATGCATAGCATTAGCAGCTGCACATATGTCAAAACCAATGCTTCGAGACTGGCGAGCAGCCACAAGCCCAAAGAAATGAGGCTTGTGTAATGAAAAAACACTTATTTCGTGTGATTATCAGAAATTGAAGCTTCTCACTTAGAGAATGTCTTGCATGGGACTAATACACTCATCTGCTGGATTGAACAACAAAAATATTAAAACAAGAACCTCAGGTCATTATGAGAATTCAGCTGTCTAAAATTGGATCATGAACGGTAGCTATTGGTTCTCTACTTCATTTTTCCTATACTTCCCTTATTAATCCTAGTAAGCCTACGATAATCACACCATTAATGTTACAAGATAATGATCGATAGCTTCATAATACCTAAGGGAATCACCGTTGTGATTTTTGCTGAAAACACTTACAAAAAATGAACTATTAGGAAGTTTTAGACGTTATACCTTCCCGTAAGAACCATCGCCCAAAATGGAAGAGTCATTAAAGTTGTTTGTTGCTTCCTTTAACTCTTCTAGTGTAAATGACCGGCATGCTGGGAGACCTTGTATACCCAATTTTGCAGCTTCGGAAACAAACCCTGAAGAGCAAAGTAAAAAATGATACGTTTACTTTTAAGAAGTTCTTTAGAAATCAATCAACAACCTCTGAAGAGCATGTTAGACTAAATTATGCAAACTAAAGCCAAATTTCTGCAATGTCTGCTCATAATATTTTTAGAAGATAACCTACTTGCACTAGAGAGGATCTCAGAGGAGAATCCTGCCACTGATTTATCCTGCTCTGCTTTGTGCAACAAATGCTGCTCCGGTATCCCTCGAGATAAATATCTTTTGCGCACCATGACAAGGCCAAAAGCCAAAAGAACTACGA